GAATTTGCTTTTTAGTCAACTGAACTGAACTTGTTACTTATTATAAATATATAGATATGTAACTATCTAAAGATAGGATTAGACCATTACAAATTTAGGTACCTACAATAGAGACTAATTGATATGTTGTATGTGTATTGAGTATATAATACTATTTTAATATGTAATGGTTAAATGATATACAATATATGTATATATGTACTACTAATACTAATAAGGCAGTGGTAGCCCAGTGGTAACGCGCTCGCTTAGGAAACCGAGTGAAGCGAGTTCAAATCCCGGGTCTCGATATTTTCATGTGCGAATCATTGCCAACATGATTACCACTTCTCTTAACGGTGAAGGAAAACATCGTGAGAAAACCTGCATGTCTGAGAGAACCTAGCAAGTTTTCAAAAGACATGTGAAGTCCGCCAACCCGCACTTGGCCAGCGTGGTGGACCTTGGCCTGATTCCCCTCGTAATGCAGGGAGGCCCGTGCCCAGCAGTGGGGCGTTAAAAAGGGCTGAATACAAAAAATACTTATAAAGTAAGAAGAACTTCGAAGCTTAAACACTATTCTTACACTAATAGGAAAATAAATTATTTCTTTTTTACTTAGTAATACTGTTACTTTTTTTACAAATGTAAATTTTACTTTGAAAGCAGTAACTTAAACCAAGGTGTCTATCTAGTTATGGATATTTTTATATGAACATTATGGTGTCTCTACTACGCCTAGGACCTAGGTCAGGCAAGTGCTTAATAATTATGTTGTGCAAGACGTAGGTTTATGACCTATACTCACATGTGCACTGACAACATAATTTGGATTTGTTGTACCTATGGGTTCCCATATATGGATTTTAAACTAATCTGTGTTAACCAAACGCTCATGCAATAATAACAATTTAATTTAATTTTTTATTTATTTATATACTGCATATATATATGATAGCTTTTTCTAATAGCCATTTTTCATCATATGGCCATGATTAAAACAAATTCACTGTTCTAATACGTTTACAGTGGAGCTTAAATGTTGATAAAAGTACAAATCATAACGTGATAGGACTATTTTTTGTTAGTGGAAAAATCAGTACCAAAAATAATGACTTTATTTATTTTACTTCAAATACTTGTTCTATTTAATTACCTACTCAGATTGACACTTTAAACCTTATAATTGTAATGCTTGTTAGATTACTAGAATCTGATTAATATATCCGGTGCGGGCGAAGTCGAACACTGTGCTACATCGTGTGTAATGTGTCTTACCGTTGTAGGTACTCATGTTAAGTTATTCGCTTATGGCGTTTTTATTATTTTTAAATAAAATAACTATTAATTATCTTCTTAGTTATAAATTGTATAAATTATAAGCAGATTTGACTCTTTTCCTACAATTTTAAAACAACTTCCGTCAATATTGTAATATTTTGTGTTGACTGGTGTTCATCGCCGGTCGTTGTAAAATAAAAATATGTCAAGATCGGTACATATGAGTACGTTTACCGAGAAAATTTGGATGCAGCGACCTGCAGTAAAGAGGGTATATAAGACATACCTACTAACTATAGAGATTATAAAACTTCTGTGTCATAAATAAATATTTATTTAAATTTTTTTTGCCTTAACTCTTGCACCATAGTCACCTTAGGGATTGTAGGCGCCCTTGATCGTACGGTGACCGCAGGCGGGGCATACTACATAGGTGGTACTAGCACGCATGGCACCACATGGGAGCACCGTTACGATATTTGGTACACGCAACCTATTACATTCGATTATGATTTAAGTCTTACAAGATGATATAAATTTTCATATCTGTCGTAATAATTTGAAAATAAGATATGTGACGATATTTTCTATTTATAGTATACTAGCAATGCCCGCGACTACGCCCGCGTTCAGATGACCAAAAACCAAATTCTTAGGCAGTACAGATTAATATACTCTTACATTGCAGTTTTTGCATTTTTTTTCTCAGAAATGGGATATTTTCCGGCGGTAAAAAGTATCCTATATGTTGACCCGGATAACCAGCTATCACCATACCAAATTTCATCAAAATCCCTCCAGTGGTTTTTCTGTGATGTGGTAACAGACAGACAGACAGACAAAAATTCTAAAAACTAGATTCGGCCTCTGTGTCGATAATAATGTTTATTTCAATTAGATTTTCCAAATAATATTTAATGTACAGATTCGGCTTAGTTACAATTTTATTATATGTATGGACTAGCGACATCCCCTCGTTTCGCTCGGGTGCATCTTTAAGTACGTTTTAATTAGATATTTTTTTTTATTGCGAGTGTCTTAGGAAACAACTATCGCTTCCTTCTGTATGCATTTTTAACACTTACAATTTTCTAGTACATTGTTTTGATGTATCTCTCAAGCTTTAGCCAGCGTTAGCCATGTGAATTTCTAAAGATGTCTTGATAGAATCAATTATTGTGTTTTCCTGTGGGGACGAAAGATTTTCCTGTAGTAAAAGGTATCCTAAATTTTGACTAGAGTATAAAATTATCACTACACAAAATTTGATTTGACATACAGACAAATTTTTTAATAACTATTGTTTTGGGGTCTATATTCTGTCACAATACGTAAAACTCATTGTTTTTAAAAATATTTAATGTATAGATTTCACTTTGTTACTGTTTTATTATTTGTATACATTTTTCTGGTTTTAATCATTTAATTTAATAATTGATGTTAATGTGTATTATATCGTAACAATGTTTATTAATCTCAGGACTATCGTAGATTCATAAGCCTTGCTGTGACTCTTAATAAATGTAATTGCCAATTAATTTTTTTTAATCGTTTACGGAACATTTTAATTGATTTAATCTAAAGTAGATGTAAGTTCGAGGAGAGCCACTCTGGCACTCGTCAACGGGCAACGGTCAACCATAAGCAAATTATAATGATGCTCTAATATGATTTAGTTGTATGTACGTGTTAAGAAAAAAATAGAGAAACTGAAGGTTCGGTCCGTTCGTTCAATTGCCATTTAAATTAATTTAATGGTTAATATATTAAAAAAATTATATAATCAGTATTCCAGTGTCACGGCTACTCTAACGCTCACCTCCATGCACGGTGTCATTGATGTTTAATATATTCACTTAAAGCAAATTACATTACATTATGCTCTCGATGTAAATTGTGTACAGTTAGGCGAAATAACAAGTATATATATAGTTTTCTATTTAGATTGGACTTGAGACATTTCAAATACATATAATAACTTGTAACATTATTAATTTAGATTTTACAAAATATATTCTGGCATTTCTTAGACATATTTAGTATGATTTTTTTTTAATGTTATAGCATTGCTGGATAAGGTCAATGTTGGTACGATACTGTAAATAATTTTATGATTTCCGATCCTCGTAATATTAAATTAAACGATCACTTAATGCCAAATACGGTGATTAAGTGTCAATTATCAAGACTTTTAAAGAAACATACATAATAATATAGTTAATTAAATCATTTTAGAATTTGACAATTTTTGCAATCATTTATCTAACTTGTTGTGACTTTTGTCTATTGTATTATAATCAAAATACATTAATTAAGTATGTATCGAACCAACTGTAATTTATAGAGCGAGTTTACCTACGATTGAATTAGAAGTTATTCATATACAGCTTCATTTCATACGTCTTGTTAGCAATCTATTGTGCCCTGACCTATGGGCTATGACACGTTTTACAATAATAGGTCATAGGTTGCACCTCTATAATATATGCTCGCTCAATCACGTATAACTTACACTGACAGATTAATTAATTTCTATATATGTGTAGACTCGTCAATCGTCAAACATAAAATATGAATATATTTTACAATTTGAAATCGTTCTGCGATACCTGTAGGATGTAATTATTTATATTTAAACTTTGATTGTATATCTAGTTTTCAGTAGATAGTTTTCACAAGATAATATGAAATATACATTTAGTGCAACTTAACAAATGAGATATTTAGTATAGAATGAATACTTATTCGAAAAAAACTTTTTAACAAAAAAATAAAAACCGACTTCAAACAAAAGCACTATTAAGTAAAAAATAACTGATTGGTAGTTTTCATTTACTATACGTACCTAATCAAATATTTTCGAAGTCGGTGTGCTTTACTTTGTATGGGCTGGCACCGATTTCGAAAATATTTGATAGGTACATATGTATTTAATAGGTGTGCTTTAATTACTTAGCCAAAGCACACCGACTTCGAAAATATTTGATTAGGTATGTATAGTAAATGAAAACTACCAATCAGTTATTTTTTACTTTTTAGTGCTTTTGTTTGAAGTTGAAGAGTTCGACCTATCCACCTTCTGGCCTTACCATCAGATCAGGTCAACAATACCGAACCACTGTACTATCAACGGAAATAGAAACACTTGCAAACTTTCAAGTCAATATGACAATTAGAAGTAGGTTAAGTTAAATTCATCATTAGCTATTTTTCCACCTGTAGGGGTGGTATTTTGTTTTGAAATTTAAATGGGACCAATCTGGAAGTATACACTTTCAAACGACACAAAAATTGTCCAAATCGGTTAATAAATGACGGAGTTCTGAGGTAACAAACATAAAAAAAACAGTCGAATTGAGACCCTCCTCCTTTTTGAAGTCGGTTGAAAAAAGTTCTACTGTATTGAAAATATTCATTTTTTAAAAATTCTCATCTAGGTATAGAATATTTTACCTACTAAATAAAATTATTATAATGCATTTTTAATATACTTATAACTAAACCAATAAACTTAATACTCGTAGTAAAGTTTACTCGTTATTTACTGACGGCACATTTAATCGATACTGAAGGCTTGTTAAATGTCGATCGAGTGATTTATTAACAATATATTGTATATACTACATAAATAGATTTCGCATATACTTTTTCAGAAGAATTAATTTATTGTTTGTTTATTCGTATTGAAAGGTTATTTATATATTACGTTAAGTTATTTATTTTGTTTTTTTTTGTTTTAGGGCATAGGACACGTATCCGGTGGACATATAAACCCGGCGGTGACGTGCGGGTTGTTCGCGGCGGGCGATGTGAAGCTGTTGAAGGCGATTTTCTATATTGTAGTACAATGCTTGGGAGCTACAGCTGGAGCGGCATTCATTAGGGTGAGTATTCAAAGCTATACATATATTTCATTAGTATCAAATAAAATATTAAACTTTCCTCAAAAGAACGAAATTATAATATACTTAATATACAACGCTCTAAATAAATTACTTATAGGCTTTATTTGAAACTGAGTTTGGAGTGTGTGATGATGGTGCCTTGATAAGTTTATATATATTTATAGCTTACTTTTTGTACATTTCTTACTATAAAAAAGAAATACATTTTAATTAATCCTAATTAACGAGTGCGTTCCTAATAAGGATAATAGTACAACATAATATGCCCTTATGAAGCTTGAATCAAATGTGTTAATACTTTAGTAGTTGTGTGAAAAGGTGTTGCTAGCCTTGACACTGATGCTCTACGACTCTAAGAATAAAGAATAATGAATTAAGTAGAGCAACCTTCGGGAACCAGCTTGTGAATCGTGCTCAAGCCGATGCTGGACAAGCTTTACGACATGTGCAATCAGCAACTAGATCGTTGTTCGTGGATCACAATAAACCCATTTAATGCGTGTGAGCTTGTAATATTATTGTACTTGATCACGTGTAAGTTGTTACATAAATATTGCGATATGATAATGAATAAATATTATGACACATTATCAAGTAATATAACCTATGTTACTCATACCTTTAGGTACATCAAGTGCTTTGAATATGTTAAAATTTCAACATTGGAAAAAACTGGTAAGGGACATTTAAAGTTAACATTGATAGATTGAAAAGGTTTTAGTGTTTCTAATAAGATGTTATTTGAACATTTTGATGGATAGCACGTTTTTATAACAAATTTTATATTGACATTTCGCAATATACTATGTATGTACATTCAATAAACTCTTAAAAAAATGAATGGTTAACACCGAGTATTAAAAGTTATTATTGGTTGTCAATTAAATGTTAAGATAAAAATGACGTGTTTAAAATTCGAGTATGTATTTAATTTTGATACTTCAATGTTACCCGTGCGCTTAATTATAAAGAGACAATTAATAATATTTAAGCTGCGCGACCTCGTGTCGAGATGCAGCAGATGCGACATTTTACTCGCAAAGACCAAGTAAAGACCATCCACTTAATAGATCACGATTTGTTTATTATTTGATCAAACTCCATTATTGCGATGTTCATGTTTAATTATTTTATCAATATAACTTATTTTATTTAGAACAATGTCCTAGTTTAAAATGAATATTTAATTATATTATCTAACTTTAGATATAATTGCCTTTTTATTGTTTTAGTACTTATACATGTTATTAGTTTTATATTAAATATTACTTACTACTATGAACAATTAGAAGTAGGTAGCTCATTAAATTGCAGGATAACTCTTAAAGTTTTATTATGATAAACAGTAATAAAAGTACTCAACTATCATTTTAAATAAAACTATGTTTTCGGATTTTTGTACGTTCCTTAGCTTTGCGCCCGGCTGGATTGACGGGCACTACTGCCCCCTCCCCTCTCCTTCCCCCTCCTCTCCACGACTAGGTGAACGCACGTTGGGGGGAAGTGTGATTAGGGCCTGGACTAAGGATCACAGCACAATAAAGAGTTCTATTTTATTAATAGGTAAATGAATAGCAAAAATAAAATATGTGGTATTTTTGCGGTGGCACGGATTCCTGATGCGCGAGTCCTACTCGCATTTTAACGATTTTTCTGTATGTTTTCTGTATCTTTATAGTATTTAAATAGTAATATATTATGACATAATTGTCTAAGTTATAAGTACATAACAACATTAATGGTGATTTGTTTTGCAGTTGGCTGTACCTGAAGATAGAGTTCTGTCGTTCGGAATGACTCTACCTGCACCTAATGTGACCGAGCCTCAGGTATATTATTTGAACACTTAATAATTTACCCAATTATTCACCGAAGGCCTCCTATTTGTATGTCATTATTAGTTTTTACCTACGACTCCGTTCGCGTAGTAAGTATTTGGAAATACAAGTCCTTACTACAAATGTTTATACGACATATCAGATAACTCCATTCTGAGTTTCAATAAAATCCGGTGATCTGTTCCGCGTAAGGAATAAAAAACTCACACTTACTCTTAATCCTGCACTTACGATATTCGTATTCAGTTTTTATCGTCGAACTGCTGGGTACGGGCCTCTATTCAATACGAGGGGGATCAGATCATAGTCCACCACGCTGGTCAAGTGCTGGCTTCACATGTCTTTCGAGAACTTGCTAGCTTCTCACAGTCATAGCTTTTACGCTTACGTCATAGCTTTTCTCACGATATTTTCCTTTACCGTAAGACAAGTGGTAATCATGTTGGAAATGATTCGCACATGAAAATATCAGAGGTGCCAGACCCGGGATTTGAACCCGCTTCACTATGTTTCCCAAGCGATTGCGTTACTACCTGAAGACATATACGAAGATTTAAACTAAATATTGTACAGTATTTTTCGGACGGTTGACAGAGAAATCAAATTGAATATTTTCTATAAAAAATATTAATATAAAATTATTAATACATACATTATTTTCTATAATATTTAGGCTCTGCTAGTAGAGGCTCTGATTACGTTCGTGCTAGTGCTAGTGGTGCAGGGCGTATGCGACGCGCGTCGTAACGACCTCAAGGGATCCGCTCCACTCGCCATCGGCCTTAGCATCACTGCTTGCCACGCTGCCTGTGTAAGTATCATTATTATATCCGTACACGAGCATATGTATAAGATGTACTTATAATTAGTTATTACTTATAAGCATCCCCACTACTGCTACTATACTCTAGACTCAGATCACGTTTTTTCTCATAAAATCTGATCTGTATCTGACCGTAGTTTGGAGGTCGGCAATGTGTTAACCCTCGTGTTCTCTGAGAGCACGATAAACTGACAGTCCCGCACCTTATCTCTCATCAGTCGGGTCTCATCAAATTATGAGAATTAAAAGAATAGAAAATGCTGTGCAATTACGCACTGCACTATAATATGTCATGATGACATTATTATTATCACCATAATCATGGGACACCAATGGGAGACCATAGCAATATTAATTAGAAACTAATCTCTCAGTAATTAGAAATTTTACGAAAACTAGTTCAAGTATAGGTTTTATTTCACCAACAACAATTATTTTATGAAAGAATAAGTTTTAGTTTTATTTTCAGTATAATATAGTTGTTTTCTAGAAAGAAATCTTAATGGAATTATGTTTTTACGTACCACAAATAAAAAATATATCCTACTTATTAATTATCATATAACAATCTTTATGATATTATAATGCCAAGGTCTAAGTCAACCTATTGTAAAAATCTCATTAAAGTTTCAATATTTTTTTCCTTCAATTTCTATCAAATCTGAATTGAAAATCACACAAATAAACAAGCTTAAGCTATTAAATTACATTAATAAATATGGAGGGCACGATACTTATATAATCATGAGATTATTTTTAACGGCCGTAATTACTTAGCACTATAATTATAATAAATATCTGTATCATTATAGAAATATACAAAAAATGCTAAAATCGATACTATAGCAATTGATGGTTTTTGTTCACAGATACCATTCTCCGGTTCAAGCATGAACCCAGCTCGTTCCTTCGGCCCTGCCCTCGTCATGGGTATCTGGACTGCTCACTGGGTAATAAATTAATAATCCTATAATAATTAACATATTGTTAAACGATGTTAAAATTGTGTCAATTTATATGGATTTCATGTGTCATTAGAATATATTTAGATTTTAATGACTCTCAAGGATTATTACAGTGGTATAGGTATGATAGTATTCAGTAGTAGATGATTCAAATATCTTGCGAGTTACGTAACTCGATCAAAAATCAAAAAATTGCAGCAGCATGCTGATGCTGGGCATATCAAACATTAGTTGCTTAAACGGATTTTTTATTTAGATATTAAATTAATAAATATTATATAAAAAACGCTTTATAACGATTATTAAACCAATGACCTGTTAAATTTGTACAGCGCAACTGCACTTCATTACGCCTTTCTCTCGTTTCCGTTTCTAGGCTTATAGCCAGTGTAGAAAGCGTAGTTGCAGCTGGCTTTACGCCAATTAAAATTTCCTACCCTTGATCGGCAATGAACGACAATATCAGAAGTAGATAGAATAAATATGATTCGACAATAACATACGACTCAGTAAGCACGGGAATACTTCAGAGCATGAAAGTTTATACTTTTTTATTTTTTGCAACAAAATTTATTAAAATTTATCTACATATAAATACATATTCAATACAGAAACCTTTTTTGGTTAGACCCCATTCTCAATACCTTCTTGTAGATGGCTCAATAATTTTTAATCTGCTTATATTATACTTTTTTAGATTTACGCGAATATTTGACATTTTAAATAAAACTATCTTTTCGGATTTTTTGCGGTTATACTTTGATTTTTGGTTCCCGACGTTTTGAATGCTTTACACTTTACAGAAATCATGGTCACGGGAAATTGCTGTAAAGCATTCGAAACATCGAATCAAAATACCTAAATCCGCGAAAAAATCTGCTTATATTATTTATGACATTCTTTTAAATTACTATCTAAATATATCTAAAATTACAAAATAAATAACAAACCACTATTCCAACTCTAATAAAAGAACTCTACTTTTTAATAATTTTTAATAAGTTTATAATTAATAAATTTTAAACAAATAAAATTTTAATGTATATAAAAACCAGTAATTTAACGAAGTTACGTGAGCTTGTGCATCAAGATTATAAATTCAGCTTATAAAGTCAACATATCTAGCATATCTAATATAAAACCCATTACTGACGATACTTTCACCGCATCACGTGACAAAATGACCGGAGTGTAGAGCTATAAGTATATGAACATATAAGTCTCTACAAAGTCTTTCCGGTGTTAACGATTGTAAGTTGTTATATCATTTAATCCTCATACCTTTCACTGACAAAGTTCTACTTAAAGCAATATAAATTATTCCGAATATTTACAAAATCCCGGAAATAGAAACTCGCCCTGGCTTCGCTCGGGTTCGTCCCTAGGTACGTTTTAACGGTAGGTATATATATTTTTATATGAGTATAGATTTCTTAGAGATGAGATATTTACCCGCAGTAGAAAGTATCCTACATGTGAACCCGGATAACCGGCTATCATTATACCCGTCAAAATCCATCCAGTGGTTTTCTGGTGATACGTTTCCAGACAGATAGACAAAACTTTTAAAAACTATAAATTCGGTGTCTGTATCGATAATAATGACTATTTCTAAAGATTATCCAAAAAATATTTAATTTACAAATTCGAGTCACTTTGAATTTTATTATATGTATAGATAGGAATATTATTATAGAAAAAATACCCAATTCACTTCACGACTCCTCTAGAATGGCATCAAAAAGCACTTGTGACCTTTTCAAAACTTGATTATGAAACGGTATCGTTTGTTAAATTAGCTTTAAAGAAGGTGTATAGTAATGATGTAACTTTTCTAAGTTTTTATTTACATAGAGTATTTTTAGTAATAGCAAATTAAGTAAAGTTAATAAAAAGCCTTTTAAAGCTTTTGTGTAATAATATTTATGGTAGTTAGTTAAAAAATAGTTAAAAGGTAATTTAGTAAAATAGGAAATAATCGTCATCAAAACATGTTGTGTTAATTAGTGTTAGAGCAAAAAATTTCCTCAAAATCAATATTAAATAACGTATTAAAAATTAACAAACATCTTAATAGATACGTGTTAGTTTATCCCATTAGGTTTTGTTTATCAACAAATAATTTGGAAGGTCGTATTTATTAGCGTACTTATGTGTTACGAATTAGTTTTCACGCAAACTAAATATTTAATTCCTCGTGCTCTCTGCTCTTAGGAAAGGTTAAAGAAATGTAATGTAACTATTTAAGAATGCGTTTTGGTTTCACTCAAGTAAGCGTTTTTTTTTTTAATTTCTGAATCAGACTTTTTCTAACTCTTCTTCCTTTACATTTCCAGAAAATGTTTATAATTGTTATTACACTGATATTACAAATGAGCAATTTTCTGAGTGAGTGAGCGAGTGTGTCGCTACGTCTTGCCGCTGTGCTGACTGTTACTTTTCGTGAAAGATTAATAAAATATCTAACCAACTAACCAACAAATTCTAATATAATAAATATTTTCAGGTATATTGGGTAGGTCCGATCGTGGGCGGCGTGGTCGCCGGCCTTGTCTACAAGTTCGTACTCCGCATCGGCAAGAGCGGAGACAGCGGTTCATACGATTTATAAGTTACTCGCATGTTCAAAATGTACCTTAGTCGTCTCTTGTGTGATTAAAACCAGAGGGGTCCAAACATTAAACGTTTTTTTTAAATATTATAAGAAATATAATAATATTTTATAACAGTTGGTACCCTTACACTAGAGACTGCTCTATAAGCTCATTGATAGAAACTTATTAAAACTTTGTTATATATAATCCTAGAACTCATTATAAGATTTATTGATGGGCTTATACATTTGTTTAATTTTTATAAACTTATTTTATATCCAAAGTCGAATATTTGATGCGATTGAAATTTGAGAATCGTTGTATATAACATTTTCTATATGAAATACGAATATATGTATGTATACAATGAAATTATATTTTTTTATATACATGATATATCTACATACGCCATATTGGCTTTACGACGAACTACCATATAAATACAATGATTGCATGTAAGGTAAATTATGTCTAGAATAATGTAAGTTAGAACTTACAAGAGTATTAAGTCTATTTATGTGAATAAAATGTAAGTTAAGTATAATGGAACATTTCCCGTGTGTCTACTGTTAATGTCTACATTTGGTATAAACACGTGAACATAACTCACTTAATGTTAAATGCGAAATATACACTATGCTAAAATTACGAGTAGTTTTTTTAAACAACAACAAAAAAAGGAGGAGGAGTGGAGGGGGTTTGTACTATGTTCTACAAATATTTTTTATGAATGAAACATTTTCTATGACAAAAAACATATCTACCTAGAGATTAGGTATTGGAAAGTAAAACAAGAATTTTATTTTAGTTTTTTAGTAAAATATACCTAATTCATATAAGATTTTTTTAGATAAAGTAATTTTTAAGGTTAATGAGAGAGATTGACATACGAGTACATACTTATTAAGTATATAATGTTATATTTTATCCTGATACATTGAATTCCTGTCTTGGATGCTGAAGACACATTCAAAAGCTCCTATTCCTTAACTAGTTAGGACCAAGTGTGACTTTGAATGACGTCACCCAATAGGTACAATATCTAAGTTTTTTGCACATTACTACCTCACACGATTATTACCTATTGTTACTTTCTTGCTTAAAATTGAATTTTGAAGTCAAAAAGATTGAAGTTTATCTTTTACCATGAACCTATTAGTACGTAACTAAGAATGTTCTTTTTTCGCATTTTTCAAATTGAATACATAAAGTAGTACCTACTAGCTACTACACTAATCTAAGGTGAGTTCTGATTAAATTTATTAAAAACCTATCGAGATATGCATTATGCAGTGCCAGCTGCTGTCATAATCTACCCACATAGTGCTAACCTAGATGACTAGTATGTTATTAATGCGAATGTCTCATTTACAAGTGTAATCGCGTTTGAGGCAATCCATACACACCTAATAAATAACAATTAAAGTGAATTGTTTCTATTATTACTTACACAAGTAGATAAACATATCTATACATATAATAAAATTGTAACTAAGCCGAATCTGTACATTTACAGTAAATGTTTTTTGGAAAATCTTATTGAAATAAACATTATTATCGTCACAGAGGCCGAATCTATAGTTTTTAGAATTTTTGTTTGTCTGTCTGTTACTGCATCACAGAAAAACCATTGGAGGGATTTGGATAAAATTTGGTATGGTGATAGCTGGTTATCCGGGTCAACATATAGGATACTTTTTACCGCGATAAAATGTCTCATTTCTGACAAAAAATACAAAAACTGCAATGTCATCTAAACGCGGGCGGAGCCGCGGGCGATGCTAGTATTCAATATATATATATATATATATATATATACAACCAACTTTTAATTACATATTTGGCAAACAGTTTTTTAAATCATATCAAATCCATCTCTGTACTTTTATTTAGTATATTTTTAGAATAATTTACTTGGACATAACATTTTATCGACATCTTTTTAATGCGAATTGTACATATATATTCATAGGCGGGGGACCCATTTGGTTACCCTTCAAGGTTTATAGCATGATTTATTGTAAAGTAATTTAAAAAAAACACATTCAATAAGGTTACTCAGTCAACTGGCTTTAATGAATTCATTTCCTTCATAGGGTTAACCCTTTTTATAAGGATTATCAAATAACCATATCTATAATAAATATGTTACACAATAAAAAATATGGTACAATATAAAACTTTACAATTATTTATAAAAAATACATATTAGAACGAAGTAAAGAAATATTTTAGAGAAAGATGTAGGTACGTAGCGATAATCATTCCCGCTACTAATTCTGCTACAAAGAAAACGATTCTATCGTCTATGCTTTAGGAATTATATTTCATTATTTTATTAACTGCCTCGGTGGTGTAGTGGCTAGTATGTACGGCTGCACACCCGGAGGTCCTGGGTTCGAGTCCCGGGTCGGGCCAAGTTTTGTTATTGAGACTTTCTGTATGGTAAGTCTCAGTAACAGCCCGGAGTTGGGAAGTTGGCGGTGTTTCACCCCCGTGCCTCGGAGAGCACGTAAAGCCGTCGTTCCTGCGCCTTAACTCTCACCGGTCGTGTCGAGTGGTCGTCCCACTGGAGTATGAGAGTGATAGGAATAGGGAGTGCACTTGTGTCTGCGCGTACACTTGAGCACTATAATATCTCCTGCGCAGTTGGCAAATTTCAATGAGATTGGCCGCCGTAGCCGGAATCGGCTAGGAGAACATAATCATCATCATTTCATTATTACTCCTTAAAACGAGATTAGGGCTAACCTCATAGATTGACTTGTAAACGATAGAGTAACCCTTTTTTTTTGTTGTCGCTGGGGAAACCCATTATGGGGAACCTGCCCGCCGTCATAACGGACAAGGTACCGTTAGACTCCTACTCACTAAAACCCACAGCGGAACCCGTCGCCGCAGTGCAATGGTGCGTTGCAGGATCGCTTGCGCATTCACTACAAAAACGATTACAAATGATTAACACTTTCCATTTGCTAGAAGGTGGGTTAAATATTTAATGGGTAACAAGGTTTTTCTAAAATAATTTTGAACGAGTAACTATTTTATAAAGCTTAACTTTAAGCCCGGGTTTTACGGACCCTAATCATAGCACAAGTACATTCTACAGTATTTTTAAGACGTAACCAACTAAGGAAAAGTACTACAGAACCGTTTAACAAGTTATTTTACTAATAGAAATGATTGATTGAAGCGGCAAGGGTCAATACGTTATACGAGTATAATGTCCTCCTGACCTATTTCGGCCTCGGCGGTCTATTTCATTGAGAGTAGTCAGATGTGCAGGAGATATTATAGTGCACGAGTGTATGTGCAGACACAAGTCCATTCTCTATTCCTTTAACTTTCAAAGTCCGATGGAACGATACCTCGACACGATGGTGAAAGCTAAGGCGCAGGACCGACGGCTTTACGTGCTCTTAGGCACAGGGGTGAAATACCGCCAACTTACCAACTCCGGGCTAATACTGAAAATGTCTTACCAGAAAAACTCAGTACTTAAACTTGGCCCGGCCGGGGACTCGAACCCAGGATCTCTGGATGTGTATGCAAGTCAATAGACCACCGAGCCAGTTAAAGAGTCAATATAGGGAATGCAGATCTGCAGATCCTTTTGAAGATGCTATAAGTGTTAGTTATGACAATCAATAAAAACCCATGGTCGGTTACGAAGCTCTATTAAACGAATTTGCACGGCAAAGCCAGGATCACCTAGACCCAATTCATTATTTAATATGAGAATAGTTATCGAAACATTATCTCTCATCACGACGTCTTACAATCTTCACAGATGCTTGCGCAAGAATCGTGACTGCCGCACTCTAATCATCCGTGACATATCACTTGCGCTGCGCAACACCGGTCTTATTAAAAATGTGTCGCATGTGTCAAGGTCAGGTTCAACATCGTTTGTAGTCGTGGGCTGGTAAAAAATAATGCTCTACATAGGTATACGATATATGAAACTTCAATTTAAAAAGTCATGAAAGGTTTATTGGCAATTTATTTATGGAGATTCCATCTACGCACAGGAGCTATGCATTAGGTACTTATACCATTTTGTTTTTGCTTTTCGAAATGTTTTGGGTGTACTAAATAGTATTATATTTTTATAAAAAAGTACTTCTATACAAATATTATCTATTTTTATTAACTCGTTTGTACACATAAAAAATGTGCTGCTTATGTCGAGGTCAGGTTCAGCATTGTTTATAGTCGTGGGCTGGTAAAAAAAATATTTAATCCAAAAAGTCATGAGTTTTATTGGCATTTTAATAATGGAGATTGCAGATACATCACACGCACAAGTCATACCTAAATCTATACTAATATTATAAACAGGTAAAGTTTGTTAGTTTGTGACGTTGTAGAGGGTAATCTCTGGATCTACTGAACCAATTTAGATGAAATTTGGTAAGATAGTTTGGGACTTTTATCCCGGAAATCATCCCTTGAGGGGGTGAAAATGAGGATGAAAGTTTCTTTAGGGAATCAAGCTAGGGACGATCCCGAGCGAAGCGAGGGTGAGTCGTTAGTGATAAATATCTTTATTCACTATACTGTAATTTATTGTGGTAAGTGGTATTGCTTATATCATTTTGTTTTCGTTTTTCGAAATGTATTAGATATATTCTAATATTACAAATGTGAAAGTGATAAATTATTATATCAGAATTACTTTAAACTTAGTACTAATGCACTACAAATTACAATACAATTCAAAAAAACGTATTTTAGAATTTTTCAATATTCAGCCCCTAAGGGGGTAAAAACGCGTGGTGAAGTTGATAATAAAATCCGCTTTTTTTATTGTTAAAATTAGCTTAGTTAAAAATTAAGGAATACGTGTATTAATCAGATTATTCAAAATTCGTTCCCTGGGGGGATTATACTCATACATGTGAAAATCATTACAGCCATCAAATTGTTATTAGTTATAGCATAAAAGCTACGAATAAATAATTATTTATTCGTAGCATCAAAATCAGTTTGTTTGTTTTTATAGTTTGAATGCGGGCGAAACGGCAAGCACTGCAAGACTTATAATAAAACTATTTAGCGGTAATATTATGAACGCGAAAGTTTGTAAATGAGTGAGTGAGTATCCAGTTTAAAACGGCTCAACAGATTTAAGTAAAATTCAGAATATATAGTTTATTAGATAAATAAATAAATACTAGTTTTATTTGACGAATCAACACCGCGAGCAAAGCCACGGGAAAATATAATACAATATATGAATTTGACTATTCCTTCATGCAGTTTTAAAACATCGTAAAACTTCTTAGGCAGGCTCGTTGTTACCTTTGCTTGGTAGTTGATACAGATATCGTTTTCATGCTTGACGAATTTTCCTTTCATAGGCAATACGTTCCTCTTTTTTCTTTAAAAAAAAAAACGACTTTCAGGCACTAAAATGTAAAAAACAACTAAACGGGCGTTTTCATTTAGAATAGATACCTAATCAGATATTTTCGAAGTCGGTGCCTCGAAACAAAAAAAAAACCAAATCGGTTCAGGCATTTTCGAGTAATCGGTGAACACATAAAAAAATCCTAGGAATTGAGAACCTCCTCCTTTTAGAAAGTTGGTTAATACATAAGCTTTACATTTATTAAAAAGAAAATGATTGCTTTAATGTTTTACTATAAGTATTAGTTTGCACTGTATCAAGTGAGCACTCAAGTAGAAAATTATACTCGTAGAGCAATAACAAATATCTTAAATGGTACTTTAAAAAAACACAAGTTGAAGCGAAAACTTTATTGAAGCCAAACCGGATACATGAAAGTGCAAGTGATACAGGTATATAGAATAAATAAGGAAACATGAATATAATTTAATTTAAATATTGGATAAATGATCACTATTGGATTTGGAGTTCATACACTGGCGCCGTATCAACAGGCCATGCACCCGTTGTAGCTGAGGCAATAGGGCGCGAAGGGCCTTCCTCAAGGTTGCTCATCTAATAATGCTTGGAGGAAGGCATCAGGGTCTGGTATGTCTTCGAGGAAGCCGGCCGCGTCGCAGAACTCCGCGAAGGAGGCGCACGGAAGCAGTTCATCGGTGAGGGTCGTGACAATGCGCTCTGCTGCTTTGGCGTTGGCTTCGTCGTTGTGACGGATGTACTCCGCCAGCTTCACCGGCCACTGCTCGACTGTTGTTGCGTTCACGTTCTGTAGATATAAAGTAGATTTAAGTCTTTTTGTGGTAATTATATATAGTTTTAAGCAATATTAATGTCTAAAAAACATTATTATTATTAACTGACTGTACCAGCCACGACTTAACCAAAAAGGGATAACACGAAAATATTTTATGTACTCAAGTATTTAATACCAATTTTCATGGCGATCAGTTACATCAACAGTTATATAAAACATTAAGTGGTGAGTGAAAGCAAAATTAGATAGCATAAAATCTCAATGAAGAGCCGAAACATGAAACATTAAAATAAATTTATAGTCACAAAAAAAATATGAACAAAGTAAAAATGTATGGTTTACGGGTATTTTTTCTTTTACTTTTGTATACTATAAGATCCTATAAAAACACAAAGCACAGTAACAAATAGCACTAAACTGACCTTAAACATGACAGTGTACAGCTGGTGCAGCAGCGCCACGAACATCGCGTACGGCTTGTAGTCGGGCCAGGGCCGCGGCGCGCGCTGGGCGGCCGCGAGCGCGCGCAGTGCGGGCCCGCCCGGCGCCAGCGCGCGCGCCTGCGCCGTCAACAGCACGCGCTTCAGCATCTCCACGCGGAGGGAGCGCCATCTGTTGTTTTATACACACAACAAATTTCAACTTATTTTTTGTTGATATCTAAAAAAGGGATGATATGTATTTGGCTGATTTTTTTTTTCAATTTCGATCGTAATATCGCACTTAAGACTCAATGATACATTAATATAACTATTGATATACATAAAATAGCTAAGCAGGTAGAAAGTTATTAAAATTATGTTTAATATAATAACAATAATAAATGAATGATAAATACAATTTAACATAAATTTTAATTAATTATATTGCGAAATATACTGTTGCATTAATCCCATTATAGACCAGCTATAGTTGAAATCAATTTGAATTAAAAAAATATGGTAAATAATTGGACAACAATTATAAATGTTAAAATGTTTGTGCGTGTGTCTGTATGTTTGTTACTCCTTCACAACGGATGAAATTAACTAGTATGACCTGAATTAACACTTAGACCACAGTCGAGCATCTCTCGATCGAAGCGAGGGTAAGTCACTCGTAATTTGTATGAACAATTAATATAGACAGTGTCGTAGAACTACACACGAAGCCGAACAATACCTAATGTTTCTAAAAATAGTTGTTTGTCGTAAAAATGTTTTTAATAGTTTACAAATATTATTAGGATAATATATATATATATATATATATATATATATATATATATATATATATATATACTGCGATAAGTGAATAAATGTAAATAAATAAAAATAGCTATCAGATTTCGTTATAATAAAGAAATAAGCTAACATTACGCTATCACTTTCAAGAAGAAGAGAACTAACTCTTAAAAATTATGTAGTATTATTTTGACTATTCATTATTATTCACATTTTCTTATCAAAAATTGTAAATTAACTACTAATACCAATATAAAATTCTTTGAAATAAGAAAACGATGCGTATGGCAAAATATAATATAGTAGGATAAATAGCAAAATTACGCTACTACTTCTGACCGTGACATTTTTTTGGGAGTCTCCATCGATATAATTCTTCAATGTCAGCTTGTAAGTAAATAAAAAACCGGCCAAATGAGAGTCAGATTCGCGCACGAAGGGTTCCGTACCATTATCTATAAAAACGGCAAAAAAACATGTCTCTTGTATGGGTATTATACCCCCCCTCAAATATTTGTATTATTTTAATTTAAAAACTAGTAGCTCACTTCGCGTGCGGGTAGAGCAGGAGCATGAGCGTGAGGTAGTATAGCGGGCCCTCTGCGTCGTGCGCGGCCTCCAGCACGCGCGCCGGCGGCCACGCCAGGCTCGTCTCCAGCCCGGACACCTCGCGCGCGGCCACGCGGGTCCTGGGAATAGAGTTGATAGTAGAACATTTATACACTTGCATTGAAATGATATTATTTTTAAATGAAACTATTTTTCTTGGCAGTTTTATTTCAATATTTTATCCCCTTTCCGGCATTTCGAATGCCTTACAACAAATACGGCCGCGGGACTACTGTAAAGCATTCAAACGTCGAAAACAAAAAATCGAAATTACTTTATATTTAAAACTAAACCTACAACAAAAAAAAAAGAAAAACTAAACATTTAAGTGACACCACAAATCCATACGTACGTATTGATAACATATAGCGCCATGTGCACGAGCGCGGGCACCAGCTGCATGTTGGAGAGCGGGCCGCCGCCGCCCGTGTCGTCGTGGAAGGTGCGGCCGCGCGCGAACCGCACCAGCAGCAGCTTCAGGTCGTGCACCGTGCAGCCGTGCCCTATGTCGCGGTGGCCCGTGCACTCCTAGCGAGACATTTAAAAGTTAATTAAGCATGGTATCTCACGAGGCAATTAAATATTTTTTGCCTTTTATAACTGATTAGCCTTGATTATAATGACTATTTCAATAAGATTTTCAAAAAAAATGTGCAGATTTCACTCAGTTACAATATGTATAGATTAATCATTAATTAAATGTAACAGACATTTTTCATTCTTAGCGTTGCTTTCAGAAATATGATTATATAAGTATGGACAGTAAACAATATAATTTGAGGTCAAATTCAATGTAAACACTAAACTTATCAGTCAAACATTTAGAAATGACCACAACATATTCAAACATTTTTAACACGTATTTTTACCTGCAGATAAGTGGTGTGTCTCGCAAGACAAGACGCAAATGCCGATTCAGGTACATGCGGTCCCCACAGAGGCAAAAGTCCATTGCACCGTGTTGATGCATTTTGCAGTGCTGCACTTTCCCACTCATCTCTGTGAATAATATTCTTCCGTTATAATTAGAGTTATATTTGTTTTTTTTTGCTTTCGTTTGTTGAAATCATATCTCTTAATTTATTTTACCAATATATAAAATACTAGCGACTTACCCTTGCCTCGCTCGGGTTCGTCCCTAGCTTCACTCCCCATACAAACTTTTATCCCCATTTTCACCACCTTATGGGATGATTTCCGGGATAAAAAGTATCCTATGTCCTTCCCAGGGTCTCAAACTATCTTCTTACTAAATTTCATCTAAATCGGTTAAGTATCCAGAGATTACCCCCTACAACGTCACAAACTTTACCTTTTTTTATAATATTAGTATAGATTTCAAAAAACTATAAATCACCTGGCACGCGCGAGCCTAACGGCGGCCATGTGGCACTCCACGTGCACAATGTTGTAGTGCGACACCGTGGTGTAGCCCAGCGTCTTGCGCGCGCGCACCTCGAACTCCTCCACCGGACAGCGCTTCGTGAACGTGTAAATACCAAGCACCTGCATAGATTATAGTGATTCATTAGTTTAACATTCTAATTGAGATTCCAAAATGCAGGTCACGCCACAAATGTCAATAGTCGTGTATTAAACTTAAAAATAAATAGCCAAAAAATATGTTTAGAATTTTGGCTTCAGTGTCAGGGTGAAATCACATTATTCACAAATAATCTCCATAAATGTAAATGAAAACACAATTTTAAAACACAAATATAAACCCACAGTATAAAAATTCATACAGTAGACGATCGCAAATTGATTTTAACAAAAAATCAGTCAAATACAAAGATGGTAAAGTCGGGTGCGCACTCACTAGGGTCTTACTTCGCACGCCACAACGCACGCCTTGATTACATGGATTAGTAGACAGTGATAAAAGATAGTTGTTGCACAATATATGTATCTAAATATAATTTAAAATAAACAATGACATACTGACATATATTAGTATGTGTCATTTTATCTAATTCCCATCACCACATGGCCACCCTGCCATGCGCGTTTCGGTCGTGCAATGATGTACTAAAAAAAAATTACATACAAAAACAATGACCAACACGCACCTTGGTCGGCTGGTACTTGTATCCCTCGCGGCAGATGCAGCAGACAGCGCCCGCCTCCTCCGCCAGGTCGGCCACCTGCTGCGTGAGGCTGCACTGCGCCGTCACCTGGCCGCGCTCGTTGCTGCGCATACCCAGCGCGCCCAGCTGCCGCTCGCGCACCGCCATCGCAAGACGCTTCTTTTCCTAGACAAATCACCATTTTATTTAAAATACAGGATTTTTAATATGATATAAGCAGGTTAGGTAGGGTGAAACAGTGCTGTGTTGTAAAAGTTCAATTTTATTTGATTTGAGTTCGTTATATGGAAACAGTATTTTTCAATGTCTATCTGTTAATATTTCCTATTGTCAAAATATTTACTACAAAATATGCAATTATATATTATTTGAGGTTAAAATTATATTTTTTTAATATCAATAATGTGGAGTGTTTTGTTATGTAATAACGCTACTTACTTGTCTCGTAAACTCCCGAACTTGTTGGACTTTAGCGGCACATTGCGGTTGGGAGCGAAGCGCCTCGAGTAAGTTCTCTGCGAGCGAGCCCACGTGTTCACCGGACGATACTTGTTCCAGACGATGTACGATTGGTATAACTTTTTCGCACACTAACATCTGTCAAACGATTTTTTTTTCTTCAATATTAAAATCCAATTTTCAAGGGAAAATACCCAGTATACTATTTATGTCACTTGAACATATTAATGGTTACATTCAAGCAAATGTACATAAGTACTTATATAATAATTGTATACATATATTATATGTATTTAAGAAAAAATAATTAATTTGACTAGTTGTTTTTATTAGATTCTATTATTATAATGATTGCTCACCTGTGTAGGCTCATGATCAGCAGCCAGTCCAGTGAGGAATCGCAGGATGTACTTGAGCGCGGGGCGGCTAATAAACTCCTTTAGTTCGTCCGAGTCCGTACACACTAGCGTCGGCTTCACGCATGGGGCGTTTTTCTGTGAATTTAAAAATGAACATGAGTTTATAATCTTTTGGAGTTACAAACTTTCTGAATTTTAATAATACATTATTTAATTAGGTAAACAATAAATTAACATTTATTTTCAAAGACAAGTAAGAATAACATTGTTATTAAGTATTAACTTCTAAAACTCGTAGATAAATACATCAAGATAAAACACTTGACCTTTCTCTGTTTGTCAATCGATTACCTTTTTTTTTTGTTTAGTAGCTATAACCTTAGTGTTATCAATAAAAAATGTGAGTAATGATTATGTTCGAATATCGAATACTGAGCGAACACTAGTAGTTATTAATAATTTACCACAATATTCTCCAAATTCACCACAATATTCTCCACTCACCACAATATAGTCCAGAGCATCACGAACCACACCCAATGATATGAGATAGTCTTTGAGCGTGCCTCCGATAGAGTTCCTCTCTATATTAGCGCACAACACACAGAACAACTCCATGCAGAACTCTTCTTCGCCCCATTGCTCCGAGTCGAGTAGAACGAAATCTAGTACCGGCTTGAAGTGGTCCACTAACATCGCCATTTTGAGATCGTTGCCATACACGAGTGCGGCGAGTACGCGCGTTAGGTGCCCCAGAGCGACAGAGTTGTGGCGGATACCTATTTAAAGTTACATACAGATTTTATTATAAATATGAATATTTCATTTACGAAAATTTTATACGTTTGACTAAGTGGAAAATAATATACCTGGACATTCAGTACAATTGAGTAGAGCTTGCACATGTTCTGGTCCTCCAAATGTTAAGGAGAATTGAAGGAAGGACTCAAGACTCTCACTCGCAGCGACGGATAGAATACGTTCCATAATCTATAATAAAAAATATTTAAATTAAATAAAAAAAAGCAAAAAAAGAATAACATACTATGAAATCTATGATCAAAATTTAGTAATTTCATTTGTGAGTTCTTTACCATATCAAGTTTTAATATTTTATTAATTTATATAGTGGTGATAAAACTGTTTCTAATTGGACGTAGTTATGAAGAATAGATCCAACCACAAAAACTTATTTTGGAGAAAATAGGAGTTTTAGTAAAATTGGTATATTAAAATAACAAGCCTCTAGTTTTTTGAAATTCCTCTTAAATATTGGTTTTTTTTTTCTCCTTTCTGTATATAAGTTGATATGTAGGTGCCATTTATGACAGTAACTCATAAAACGGTTATCGTGGGCTGGATTCATTTTGCATAACTACGTCCAATTATTCTTAGGTCTCATTTCCACTTTCACTTGCACATACAGTAGGCGCGCGAGTTCATGTCCATCCTGAGGAATGCGGTAGTTCTGTAACCTATGGTAATGTCGATATCGATAATGTCATTTGGTCAACCATAATATCTATCCCATATTTATTGCAACTTTAGGGAAGTAAATAATTATTAACGGGATACTCCAATTTGTTATCTTTTTTATCTTTGACGCACATCTGTAGTACAGTTCTCGCTATTTCTCACTCTCACAGCTACAAAAATCGCATATGCACCTCAAGCAACTGATAGACGAGCGGCGCGGGCAGCATCTCCCTCTCGTCGGCGGCGGCGAGGCTGAGCGCGTGCAGCAGCACGGGCAGCGCGCGCGCCTCGGGCCGCGTCAGCACGCGCACGCAGCGCCGCACGCGCGCGCACAGCGCCAGCAGCCGCAGCAGTGTGCCCGCCAGCGAGCGCGCGCACCCCACGCGCCCTATCGCCGCCAGCCGCTGCAGCATCACCTCTAGACCGCCTGTGCGCAATCAAAATGAAGCATACATATTATTTACTTGATTCAATATTGATTTTTATTTCTTGTAGAAGTTACTGATGATCAAAAGTCGTTAAGGCTTAATAATGGTAATCAATTAAACTTGAAATTATGTGTAAAATAAAATATTCCTTGCGATATAATTTGATATTTAGTAAATACAATCTATAAATATAAAAAAAAATGAAGTAAGACTAATTACATATGAAATTATATACCATACTTATGACAAAAGTACAATTTTAGTCTTTGTCTGTCTATTTGTTTCGCTAATCTCCAGCTGGACTGTTTTTGACGGGACTTTCACTGGCAGATAGCTGAAGTTATAAAGAGTAACTTAGGCTCTATTATTATACAAAATGAATTAAGATTCCGCTTAAAAAAACTAAAAAGTACCTAGAGACGCACTCGAGCGGAGCAAGGGTAAGTCGCTAGTTAGAAATATAAATAAAATCTAATTGTGAACAAATATTATATTAATGTTTATCAAGCTATCCTACTATTATCAATCATCTTATTTACCACAGTCAGCCAGCACGTTAGCCATGCGATAGACTTGCTCATCGTCTACAGTCTCGGCATTAGTTTGACTCAACGTCTCCACAAATTCTTCCGTAGCGTCACCGAGTAAGCCACGCATACGGTACACTACTCGCATCGCATCTACACCTTCGCCAGAGGTACACCAAACCTAAAATTATATAAGCAGAAATAATATTATATTAGAATTTTTTTTTTACTGATAGTATTGATTAAAAAGTTTAATTTTATATAAAGGAGACACGTACCTTTTTGTACACTTCCTTCACAGGTAAATCAAGTGACATAATTTTGTTGCACACAAGCAACTCCATTCCATTGTCGTCTTCCAGTAGAGCCACTAGTTCGCAGTCAGTACAGATCTTGTTCTTCACGTCTCGCATGAGCGGACCCATGCCGGGCTCTAGAGATGAGTATGGGTTGCCCAACATACGACCCTAGGAGAGAGTAGGAGAGAGTAGAAGATAATATAATTAGTGATTAATTTCTATGAAGTATTATTATAAAATATTATATTAAAAGAATAATATTACCAAATATAATAATTCATATTAAAGGTAAGAATATAAAGATATTTGTTTCATTTTAAGTAATTTATTCAGTAGAGTTGTTATTTATTTTAAAAGTATACCTGCAAGAAGTCCTCCTGCTGTGGATCCTTTTCAAGAGTAAGGAAGAACTCGCCCACGTCGTTCTCTTCTGGATAGATGATAGAGCAAAGGCGCTCAAAAATGAATACTGGTGTGCGGTAATCTTGCAATGGGTATTTCTGTACTGTTTCAATGCATACCGCCATGAACTCTGCTGTTTCCGTTTCAGTGCCTGTAAATTAAACATAGCCTCTTAATTAAAATAATGTTTAAAAATGATGTTTTAGATAACTAAAAACAGGCATTCATCCAATAACAAAATGCACGGAATTTGGTCAAAATGAATCAAATTTTCTGTATATGTCATATTGATATTGATTACACAAACTTACATAGTTTTAAATATATTCTATGATTAGAAATAGGTCAAATATTAAATTCACAAGTTATAAGTGATATTAATAAAAGCATCTTAAGAGGCTAGAATAAAAATTATCATAATTATTAAAGAAAGCATGAATTGATCCAATAGACATACCTGTGGTCATCTCCTCCAGCAGTTCCAATAATTTTTCTTGAGTATCGTCGGTAAGTCGAGTTCGTTGTACAACGAGACGGCGCAACGACAAATATCCACCAAGAACCGCACCAACTAGGCGACCCTTGTACGTGCGACGGGCGCCGGGCTCTTCGAGGAACATTGCTAACAGTTCCGTCAGACGCTTTAGAGCGTAACCTGGAAAGACATTCGATATTTATAGTACCACTATATAGAAAAAAGAACGTGTGTATGTACTTATGTATGCACGTAAGAAGTTATACTTCTTTGACGTAACAGAATGAAAATAGCTAAAGATGTCATCCCGTACGTCACAACTCTCCGTTTGTATAAGGAATGCAACTAACTTCGTTATGTCGCTTTCAGCTAACTTAATCATGTCGCTTTTTAGCTGTCGGTATTCGCGCGCATCGTAAAAATTTTACTCACATAATTTATTCCAAGCGTGCCAAAAGAAGTATAATATCATAAAACAATGAACTCCGTCCAAACATGATGATATGTATTAAAATCTATTATTTTATTTACCTTGGGCAAGGTCTGAAGTCAGTGTAGTTTCTTCCAGACGATGCAGTTGGTCGATCTCTTTGGTCATCAAATCGGCAATTTGTTGTAGTACCCCACGTAGTGCTAGGAATTGTTTCCATGGCGCTTCGGACGCTAGACCTGCAATAAAATATAAATTTTAATATTTGTTTTACTTTTTTTATTTGTTATATCATATAATACAATAAGTTTTAAAGATAAAAACGTAACAGAACATACTTTGATATAGTTGCAGGAATTGCTCACTCGCCTCTCCCGCTCTCCCAACTTCGGGTAAGAAGCTTGTCAATAAAATCAAGACCTGTAAATAAAATCAATATTTATCGTTTTGAATAAATTATCTGTACTTTAAATTCCTCTAAAATTTAAAATTAAATATCGTAATGAACAGTGTAAACCTACCGCCTTAGTTCTTTCATACGAGTCGCACAAGGACTTGACCATCTGGCACGCGGTGTCGCGTGCGATGCGCGAGCTGGGGTCGAACATGACGGGGCGGAGCCAACCGCCCTCATCCAGCGCCAACTGACGCATGCCGTGGGAGAGGAGCATCTGAAAGGAATTAATTATAGCAAAATATTATCTTTCTTATGCATAAAGTTAATAAATAATGTCTAACACGGTCACTGACAATCAGCATAGAACTATGGGGCTTGCCGGTATCTCCCTTTTTTTTAACACTGACGTAATAATGAGTAACCTTCTTTTATATGATGGTATAACACTGTGCAGGTGTCATATTTTTTTTAATCTTTTTTTATTATCATTTGTTGTTTTGGGGTGTCTGTCTATTAATTGTGTCACAAATAAAGCTATACTCCAATCTATCATACTTTAAACTAGCGACAAAATCTGTTTTCTACCGGTATTTTTTTGAAGCCATTAACAAGAGAATTGAATTGGCTTAATAATTATGGCTAAGATTATAATATATTTTTTCATATCTTCTACGTCTATGTCATTACTATGTATTACACATAGTAATTCAAGAAATAATAAACAAATTACAAAACATTTACCTTCTCCTTCCACTTGCCAAGATACTTGTGCGCGAGGTGCAGGTCGCGCAGCGGCAGCGCGGTGTCGGCGGGCGGCACGTCGCCCTTGCCCACCAGCTTGCGCCACTGCTTGTGCGGCACGCGGCCCGCCAGCCACGCCGACAGGTCCACCACCATGTTGCCCGTCGTGATCGGCAGGACGGTAGGTGCCGGGGTTGGACTTGAATCCTGATATAAATTGATTATATTAAATTTAAAATATTAATGTTATATTATTAAATTCTACTAGCAACTCACCCTAGCTTCGCTCGGGTTCATTCCTAGTTTGCTTCCTAAAACAAACTTTCATTCCTATTTTCACTCCCTTAAGGGATGATTTCCGGTATAAAAAGTATTTTATGTCCTTACCAAGGTCTCAAACTATCTTCTTACCAAATTTCATCTAAATCGGTTCAGTAGATCCAGAGATTACCCCCTACGACGTCACAAACTTACAAATTCACAAACTCACAAACTTTAACTCTTTATAATCTTAGTATAGATGACAATATATCACACATGCAATAAAGGTAACATTAAGTAAACTGTTAAATTTATTTTGATTTTTGGTTCTCGATGTTTCGAATGCTTTGCATCATGGTCACGGGAGAGACTTCATTGCTGGAAAGCATTCGAAAGGCCGGGAACCGTAAATCAAAATAAATCCGCAAATAAAAATCCGAAAAAATGTTTCATTTAAAATGTCTAATATTCGCAACATTCGTAAATCTAAAAAAGTATTATGTCAAAGTGTTGATATTGTTAATTTTTTTTTTATAACTAAGACTATAGAATTTTATTTTAAGTTTAAATAACATGTTCATAAACAACTAGGTACCCACCTTATTTTCTTTCCCCTGTTCTTCAGCCGGCTGAGGTGCGGGTGCCGCAGCGGGAACGACCGGCGTCATCAGCTCTTGCATGTAACGTAGACATGGGAGAGCTACTTGTTGAAGAGCAAACTGGTGCGCTAAACATGTTATTATAAGAATCATAAGAATTTGTTTTTAGTTTCGAAAATATAATGAACAAAATAGATAAATTTCACTTGGCTTAAACTAATTGAGATAAATGAACACGAAATATGGTGTATAAAGCTCATAAAAATTGAAGATTTCATATTTAGCAAAAGACAATTAATTTTTAATACTTACAATTGGGAGAAGATGTATTTATACCAGGTATTCCCGCTAGTGCTTCAGGTTTCAGAATAGCATTAGCAGCTGGAGGTATACCAACTACTTCAGTGAGTTGTGGGCAGCACCTTTATAAAAAAAGGTAGTAATATTCAATGTCTATGAATTTTAATATAGGTATTGTCTTTACATGACAAATGTACTTACCAAACCCATAGCTTTACTATACAGCGAAGCCTAACTTCCCAACATTCAACAGAATCTTGTACTTTCACCAAAGACCCCAGCAGCAGTACCAAAGGTCTTACCTACAAACACGAATATTGTTTTATGAAGTTTGTCAACAATAAAGAATAGTATTAAAACGTGACATTTCTTTAATGTATAATGACTTACAGAATTATTGTGGTCTTGAGAAGCAGCGTGACCCATCAAAGATAACGTTATTCTTTGTGAAAGTAAGTTGCATAGATGCTCAGTTGCAGGTAAGTTGTCGCGAGTCACCAGGCAGATGAGAGCTCGTACTTCTTCTTGACACTAAAGTAAAAATATACATTATATTTATACAGATATATAGCATGTCCAACTCTTGTAGCACTTTAAAGAACAATGATAATATAAATTATAAACTGGAAGTTTATTGTTATAAAAATTTTATTTGTTTCAAATTTATATATTTTAGATATTTGTGTTTACTTGTTCTCTATCTATTCTTACTAAGTGCTCTTCAATAATAAACTGCCATTTAATCCTACTACCCCTTTTATATTCAGAATACAAATAATAATTGCACTACTATTATGAATGCTAAAGTTTGCATGTGTGTGTACACACACTGTATGTCACTCCATCACTCTGAAACAGCCGAAGAACGGATTTATATGAAATTTACACAAATAGAATATGACCTGAAGTAAAACATAGACTGATGCTAGTAATAAAATGTGCCAAAAGATGGCGTTGTGTAGAATATTGAAAATACAAAAGGCACCTATAGACACACATCCAAGCAAAGCGAGAGTAAGTCGCTAGTATGACAATATATAATAATACATATTATTTATACTTAATGTATTTTTTATAGTAACATATGTATGTCTATGTATATATCATTTTATTTATAACTCTGTTCACACCCCTTCCACTTCACTATTTCCTACTCCTAAAGGTTGTCTGGAAGGAATCATTGTTTTAGCGATAAGGCCGCCTGTTGTACACTTTCCTGTTATTGTATTGTTTTTGTCTTCTTTTTGTGTGTGCAATAGAAAGTTTTTATTGTTATTATTATATAACAATGACCTGTGGAGTGCCGCGGTGCAGGCTGTGGTGGACGAGCTCGTGCACGAGGCCGAAGCGGCAGAGACGCGCGCGGTGCTCGCGCTGCGACGCGAGCGCGCGCAGCAGCGTCAGGCACTGCTCCGCACACGCCAGCGAACACCCGTAACATGCGCCTCCGGATTCTAAACGAATTTATATCATTAAATGTATTTATAACAACACACGAATAGAATTGACTAATACATAAAATTAAATCTTAAGCACCTTTAGTGACGTCACCATCGTAATTTTGTAGTAAACCAGCATACACTGGCAACGTGTCGCCATTTTGTTGTTCGCTTTGTGACCTATCGTAAGCCACTAATTCCTTTCTGTAAATAAATATAAAACATTTGAATAATCGTAGGTACAAATATATAAGCAACTAAAAACATTATATGTGAGATATACGAATTTTATATATATTTATAGCTAAATTATCACGAAAACCTGATCTGTCGATACGCACCTACAAGCAAGCACCTTCTGTATAATCTTGGAGAGATCCTCAAAGTGTCCCTTGCTCTCGACGCAGTACTTATGCGCGAGCGTCTGTATGACGCGGTTGATCTGCGCTCCACCGAAGGCGCCGCCCGCGCCATTGCTATTCTCGTCCGCGCGACCCTCCACGCGATGCTCGCTTATCTTGTGTACTAATGACTGAATAACACAATAAGGTAGGTTATTATATATTTACTTGAAAACTTTTTGAAATTTACCATTATAGATAGTGGATGTGACATCCAAAGAATAAAAAAATTAACATAAAATGTTAAATGAGTCAATTATGTACTAAAACTTGCAACCAGCCCACCTTCGGAAGGGTTTTATGTAACACTACCCAATAATTGCAAGGATCTAATTTGAAAACGCTTATATAAATGTTCATTAATACTGCTGAAGAGCAAGTTTTTAGTAAATGTGGACAAGACATTATTCTTCCTATAAACCTTGCCACTCCTTTTCTCTCTCATAGACGTGAAGTTTAAAAAAAAACTTCTAAGCATTTGGCTTAGAATATAAAAATTGACAACATTATAGGAATAGGCTGTCAAAATTAAAATATTTTGAATTATTACGAAAAAGTTCCAATACATATTTTTAGTACACGTACCTCTAAAACGGGTTTATTGGCAATAAGTTGGCGATACACACGATCGGCTTTGTCCAGCAAAGCTCCAATTGTCTGCACCATCTTCTTGCGCTCTTCATCGTTCTCAATGGTGTCGACCGCGCAGCAAGGCCGCGCAGTGAGAGTGTAGTCGAACTTCGCGTACTTACAGAACCCGCACGCGTGACAAAGGAACGGATCTTTCTCGTCGTAGTTTATAGCACTATAGAAAGAAATAATAATGTATAAAAATATTCATTTTTTTATTATTATTATATATTTATTGATTTAGATAATTTTGTACTAACCGGCATTTGTGGCATTGAAATACGTTTTCACCACAATTAGCACAAACCCCAGGGTTTGCAGGTACAGATTGAGAGCAACGTGGGCATTGCAGGGACTCACCTATTAAAAAATAATGTAAAATATAAGAAGTTATACAGTTAAAAATCAAGTATTGTAAGTGATAACATTAAAGTGGTTAAGAAAAACAGTAAATCTTACCTGTAGCTTGTTGGTTCTCATAGAAATCAGCATATTCCATCATAAGATTACAGGCAACAATCGGAAGCGGAAAGTCAACGCGCACTTCCGACTGTCCAGATTGGAGCTGTACTCGTTTTGCTTTATGCCACATGCCTAAGAAAATAATCGACATATTATTGTATGTTAATAATATAACATAAGAAATAAAATTTAAACACAATACAATACACAAATACGTGTAGGTAAACTATGACGTTTTCTTCATACGACTAATTAACATAAATTTTTATTTTGACATGAATGATAAACCATGGTCATTTTTATAATATACCTCAGTTGTCGAACTAAATAAGATTGAAATGTCTGTTTGTCATGTCAAAATATTAGCTTTTTACTAAACGCGTGTTAAATTATATACAGTACCTATAAGAAAAACACAATTTTAAAATTTTTTGTCATGATGTTATAAGGAGCAACTTGGCTACTTTTATTTTAGAAAAAGAATTATGATTCCGCTCAAAAAAATTTAGAACGTACCGTACGTACATATATACGATCTTATAAGCAGCATTAAAAATAAAAATACACTTACTGGGTTTATTCTTCAACTCTTGCACGGCCTGGACGGTGCGGTTGCTGTAGTAGAAGTTGATGGTGCGCACCATCTTGCTGCGCTTGATGTCGCCGATGCGCAGACTGATGCGGCTGATCATGTGGCTGTTCACGAGCTTCACTATCTGCGTCGTTGTCGTGAACTTCGAGTCGATCTGCGATTGTTATACGCGATTAGCTCTTATATGATCGGTGCACGGTGGTATATGCAGCGTTAGTTATGCAGACAGACAACTTCTACATATCTACATGCTGTATCTATCTACGAACGGCATCTAACTACGACGTTCTTACGACATCAAATAATTGCTTGTGCTTCAAATATAATATAATATGTGTAATTGTTTATAAAATTTTAAATATGCGCCAATATAATACTGCAGCATGCTATCGCAAGCTTTGATATACAAAATATATACCTGACTTTGTTGACCCGCTCATTGTATTGGTTTAAATATTTGTATTTAAAACATAATTAAAATAAAATATGTATTTTCATCTTCCCGATAAAATAATGATTTTCAACGTCGTCGTCGCCGTTAGAAATGGTCTTGTAACCCCCCAGACCATGCCCTGACTGAGCCTAACTAGCAATCGATTATCATATCCATTTGCAAACCTTGATAGTTGGCAGCTTGATGGTGGCCATGGGCACCTCCGGGTTGTTGCAGACGAGACACGGCTCGGACTCGAGATAGTAGCCGTCCAACTCCACGTAGGCGCCTAGTGCCGCATAGAGTGCGGCGTTGCCGTGAGATGACAGCAATTGGTTCTGATTGCGAAGCAATTCCACTGCACTGCCGATGTACTTCTATAAATCGATTTGAATCACGTTATCGAAAATAAGTAGTAAATTTTATTCAAGAATATTTCATTATTTTAGTGTAGTTAAAATATCACATAGACTCCAAAAAAAATTTAAATTATTAATATATATCAAGTTTACCTCAGCTTCAATATTAGGTGTCTTGAGCGTGAAATAGCCGAGGAGATCAACAAATTGCGCCGCTTTGCGTCCATATTGTGGCAATGTAGGCCACAATCCCCATAGTAATGAAACTAAAGAAGCTTGCTCAGCTTGGGAGCAGTTGCTAAAAAGTTTGAAACCATTATTATAAAGATTATAACATAATAATGTCAAATAAAAGTAAAATTTGACAACGTCAATACAAAATTTATTGTGTAATCGAAATTTATTTTAAAATATATCCAAAAATAACATTAATAATTGAATTAATAGTATAAAAAATGTTTTGAAACACAACAAAATCGAAAGTGCATAATATTTAACACCATTCAGACAAAGAAAGACAATAGCATTCCCAAGGAGGGTTGACGTCAGGCAGGCGGCCGGTCGTAAAACTTTTGCCAAATCCTATCAGCAGTACACTGAAGATGTACTGCGCCGACCCCAAGTGATTTGGGAAATGGGCAGGGAGAAGAAGAAGAAGAATGTCATAAATCATTATATATAAAATAATTTCATCATAAACGCATTTACTTACTTGTAAATGGCTAGTATTAATGCATGCGCTTGCCAACGCACTGCGGTTGAATTAGTTTCCAATAAGAAAGCCTTCACAAATAATTTAAGTTCATCTTGTGGAACCTAAAAAAAAATTAGCATAAAAAGGTAAACACACGTAATCAAATATAAAATCCAATATTAAGGTACAGTAGTATGTTGTAATTAACAATGATATTACCTGTTTCAAGATTTGCTGCACAAGTTGTGGAACTCTCTGTTCTTGGAACTTAGAGCCATCAGATACAAAAGCGTCACTTTCCGCACTGCGTTCGCGCTCAGACCATTCGGCGGAGTTCTATTGCATAAAAAATAATATTAATCTCAATACGGCAATCGTTATTACTATATTATTGAACTCTTCATAACATTTACACCTAATCATCATTTTCAACAAAATTAAACAAAAACATCACTATGCTATTTCACTTAGGGATAAAAAAACTGACAAGGACGGCAAAGATATAATATTAGTACATGCATTTTAAATGCTTTCCATGATTTTTCTGATATTTTAAAAATGAATGCATGTCCATCTGTTAGTAACAACTTATTGAACTATAAACTTAACGAGAAATGCGCAATTAATATTGTTCAATTAAAGCTTTATTAAACTAACAGCCAGGAAAAAAAAACATGTTGGGACTTTAACACACATCACCACCATATTTCATGGTAAGCTACGAGGCTTGTTTTATGGATACCAGATGATACATTACACATATATAACTTCATAACATATATAACTTCATAACATATATAACTTATTATCATCACACAAACGAATGCCCCACTGCGAGACTCGAACCCGCGACAGCTGGCACAGCTAGTAGGGTCACTACAAACTGATCCAAACGTGTCATCGAATTATATATACGTATGTTACCTTGTCTTGTACAGCGCGCTGCGCGGAGACGGGCGGCGTGCCGGCGGGCGTGGTGGAGGCGACGGGCGCGCTGGGCGCGGCGGCGGCGGGCGCGCACAGCGCCGCCTGCAGCAGCTGCAGCACGGTGGGGGCCACGTGCGGGTGCAGGTGTCGCGCGCTGCGCACCAGCCAGCCTAAGGTCTCGCGCCGCTCCGTCGTGCACGTGTGCTGCCAGTTGCCCGTGCGCGCTGATACTATTTCTGCGCACGCCTGTATTGGATAGCATTCATATATTATAGACATTGATACACAAAAAAGTTTCACAAATAGCGTCTCAAAAGTGTCCTTGAAAAAAGTGCGCAATTCAAAGTTGAATTGCGCCATTTTCAAATCTTTTTTGTTCATTACTTTTCTAATGACAAAATTAAAACGCACGTTGTTTTGTTAAAAAAAAGTACTTTATGCGGTGTGCGTAAGTTCGAATTTGTGTTTAGATAATTAGAATTTTCGATTTATGAAATTTATTCTTTGATTTGTCAATAACTTAACGTCACAATATCGACGCCACTTTTTGACGAGATATTTGTTAGAAAATATGTATCTATGTTTTTATATAACAATAATTATTATGGTACAATTATTTTAATACTTTTCTACGGCAACGTTAAACAAATAATAGGAATAATAAAAATCCAATCATACCTTCAAATGATCCATAAGACGTACAAGCTTGTCATAGGCGGGGTCCGTGGCGAGCAGCGCGCGCGCTGCGGTGAGGTGCGTGTCGAGCGCGTGCACGTCGCGCAGCTGGCGGTAGCGCTCGCGCGTGCCGCACAGCAGCAGGAGTAACTTACGTACTTGTTTCCTGTTGACATTGAATAAATATAAATAAATTATCATGTATTTTGTATTATTATGTACATCAATAACAGTCTTTATTCATTAAATTATCTTTTTTAGTTTATTGGTTCATCTTCCTCTCATATAGCACCGTAGGCGTAGATCAAGATCATTAGATATTAGGCTACTTATTAACCCGGTTGGTTAACAAAGTGTTAATAGTTAAGTGCAAAATTCGTCTGTTGTTAAAATTTATCCAGATATCAGATCCTTTGACGCCCCATTAAGACGTGGATGGTTCCGTTAGGTTTTAGTGGGTAGACTAGCTTTTCTAGAAAATGAGTCCCAACTAACCATTTATATAGGTGGTATGCGTAAATGAATTTCACAACGTTAAAAAAGGATAGGTTAAAAACGAGTGTCACATACCTTAGTGGTGTTTGCTGGTTCATCATATACTCGCAAAGCAGAGTGCGCCAGCGTGCATCGAAGTGTTTATTATCACAATGCTTGTGTATTTGACATGGCAGTCGGAGTGCCATTTCCATTACTAACTGTGGGTAATTATCGAATACATCCAGAGCGTGACCTGTGTTGAAAAACAATTATTATTATTACTTTATATTGTTTTCTTTAAGGAAGACAAAAAATAAATTTTAATATGTCGTAGTGACTACTTACTCTTAACATATTCTTTGACAAAGAAAGGTTGCATATCAGGTAGTGGCTGTGGTGGTTGAGGCTTTAGTAATTGCTGTCCGGTCGTCGTAGAACCAGAATCTAGAAGAAAATATAACATTAAAAGAAAAATATAAACTGAATAAAAAGTCATTTTAGACATAGCGCGCGAAATTAAAAATGAAAAAAACAGGTATAAACATGAAATTTTCTTAAATCTCTATTAAGAATATTATTAACTATTGTATAAAGAATAAAAAAATATATTATTTATATATATTTTTTTTTAATATTTTCATGGGTCAAAAGTACCCAAATTTGAGCTTTTTTGAACCTTTATAAATTCATATCTATAAAAATATTAACCTTATCGCGAAAAGTCATAGGACCTTTTTTTATTTGTATTTCAATAAAAAATATTAAAAAAAATGTCCGGTTAAAAAATAACATCTCCTTGCAATTGTTTAAACAATTTCGGTTTAAACAATATGGCACAGGGTTGCCCCATGGCAACATGCATTTATATCATCAGTAGGGCAATTTGAAAAGGATCGCATAAAAAAATAGAGGTGGAATAGTTTTCGGTACTCATGCGCCGATTTCTCCTGGACTAAAGCTAGGCATCTAAGAGAAGCGATGGTAAGTCGCCAGTAATAATGTAAATCTGCTGTTATGCACAATTCATAATGTTTCAACAGCATACTTAACCACATATCACAATCAATACACAAATCACTCACTAGCAGTCTTCTCCCTCCAGTACGGCAGCAGGGACGCGAGCACGTTGTAGCAGTGCTTGGGCGCGCCCGCGCGCACCAGCGCGGCCGCCGCAAGCCGCGACACGTGCGCCGCGCACGCCGCGCCCGACACCTCGCCGCGCGTCACCGCCGCGCCGGACCCGCCAGTGCCGCATGTCTTCCATCGAGCCATTAACACACCTGTGCAAGTGTTTACATTGTTTAGTCGTTGTCAGGTAGGTAATGAAACTTATAAATACACTGTAAGATAATTAGGATCATGCAAAAACATTACAGACTCGCTCAATTACTCGCTTGTAAGCAGCGAAGTTTTGCGCCTTATTTTCACATGCGCATGCACAATCATTTTCATCATGATTTCTTTATGTATGAATGAAGACCGCCAATCCGCATTTGGTCTCGTGTTGGACTAGGGCCTAATTCCCCTTGCATTGTACCGAGGCCAGTGCTCACCTGTGGAATATTAAAAAGATCCGAAAAGGAAAAAAAAATATTTTATAACTTACTTAGCAGTCTCATAATAACAAGCTGCAACTCCCTCCTATTAGTGCGCACATACACCGGCGGATCGTAGTCTTCCGTATGCGTATCTAGCTCCGACACAAGCAACTCCAGCCTCAATATGGCAAGCTGTAGCTCACGTTTCTCACTGCGATGCACTTCACTCACAGGCTTCTCCGGTTGTATGTCCAATTCGTACACGAGCACTTCAAGCAACCGTTCGAGCACTACGCGATCGCCTTCAACGCTAGAATCTAAGTCGCCGGCGAGCATTAAGATAACCTGATGGAGATAGAGACAGAATACTTCAGTAAAAAAATTATTAATGAAATTAAGAGATATCTCTTATATTCTCAATACAAAAATAATATATTTACTCAAATATGGTAATAGCTGAATAGATAGCTTTGAATTGTATATCCCAGTGCCTAGTAGACAATATGCTTATGTGTTTAAACACTTTGGCTTTCTGTGAACTTACATGTATAATCATATTAGTTGAATATAACAGCACACTCGCTTTGGAAACAGACTAAAATAAATCCCGCATGTCTGAGATTTTCACTTACTAATAAGGTAAATAAAGAATTCTAAAAAAACCTGAAGCATGTTTCTATGAGAGAACTCAACTAATCCCTCGCATTGAAGGGAGGTCAATGCCAATCAATCGAACGTTAATACAGCTTTATTATTACACTAGCGGCTCACCGTCTCTTAGCTCGGGTTCGTCGCTAGATACGTTTTAAATTAACCAGTGTTAACCATGTAATTTTTTTTTAATCTTTTCGATTGTTTAATACTTATTATCCTATTCGGGACTAAGAGCAATCCAAAAAATAAATATTATAAAAATTGGTCAAGCCGTTCTTGAGTTATAATTGGTGTAACTAATACGACTTTGTTTTATATATAAATTATAATTGTATTCAAAAACAAACCTGAACAAACGGTATAGCTCGGACGCCGGGCAGCGTCCTGAGGGTAGGCAGAGCTGTCAGCGCGGCGGACAGCAGGGAAAGCCGCAGCGCGTGCAGCTTGCGCGCTTCCGTCTCCGCCTCCAGTGCGCGGGACGAGGTCGCCAGCGGGTGAGTCGAGCTCGACGGACCTGCTTTGACCATACACTCGTTTGTTATATAGAAATGAAAGTGGTGATTGTTGTTTATTTATATAACTAGTGACTTGCCCTTGCTTTGCTTGAGTGCGTTTGTAGGTACATCTGTATAAATATTATAAATGTGAAAGTTTATGAGTATGTATGGATGTTTGTTACTCTTTCAAAGTTTCACGCCAGATCGGCTGAAAGGATCCGGATGAAATTTGGCAGAGATAGATTATAGTCTGGAATAACACATAGGCTACTTTTTATCCCGGAAACATATACGGTTCCCGAGGGATAGATTTGTTTTTGTATTTTTAGAGGCGAATAATTTAATAGATTTTTTTAAGAGGAATACTACCATAATACATTGTTTTTTTTATAACTATTGATTTATAAATATTTAATATCATTTCTTATAAATAGTTTTAAATTGATATTATTAATAAAATACTAACCTGCGACAGCTGACGGTGCCTCGACGGCAGTAGAAGGTTGCACCGGCGCCGACATCTCACCTAAACATTGTGCATTTTAAAATACGATTTTAAATATGTTATTTAAACATTCTTGCTTCTTACATATTATTGTACCTACAATTAGCAGTACATTTTATTATATTGTGTTCTTAAAGGCTCTGCTTAATCTTAATATATATAATTCTTTTGTATGTGTGTTTGTTAACCTACACCTCTTAAAGGACGACCGATTTGGATGAAATTTGGGCTCCTGGATAGTTTGAAAACACAATTGGACCCGGTAAGTGGCGCTGTAGGCGGTGGGCCACTGATCATCTCCCAAACGGTCGGTATATCACTAAATTTTCATAAAAGACTCCATTTTCCGAGCAATAAATAAATTTAAGTTGTTGATTAAATAAAATAAAAATCAATGTGTATGTGTTTCCTATGCACTCAAAAACAGCTGGAGCGATATTGATGAAATTTTTAGGTAATCTTCATATTAGCCCAGCGGGTCCTTTGAATTTTGCTAGCGATCGCAAGTTTGGACGCGGGCGAAGCCGCGGGTACTACTAGTTTATTATAATTTATGATATAATAATTCAAATTGTAGCTATGATAAGAACGTAATATAAAACAAAAAGACACAAGACGCTATACACATGTAATCTAAAATACATAAATTCATGTTACTCAGGAAGCAGAAAGCTATATAGTTATGTACAACATCTTATATCTACTGAACTTTATAGCGTATTTTGAATTAGTTAAGGCTTCAGACTAAAGAATCATATAAACAGAGTCCACAAAAAAGTCAAAGTCAAAAATAGTACTGACTTTTGCTGTTAATGCTACTATCCTCGAATTTGCCGAAGAATAAGTGAAACTTAATATAGTCGTTAATTAAGATTTTTGAGAGAAAATAAGAGTAATAAAATTAAATTTTATTATTTTATATCATTTATTTAAGAATTTATCTTTCCCTTGAAAGATGATATCAAAAATATATATTCTGTTTTAAAACATTATATGTGTATAGTATTTTAAATCATTATTGTTTGGCTTCATATTTAGTTCTATAACAGTCCTTAGTCTGAGGTTTAAGCATGTTACGTTACCGTAAGCACTGCTCCGCCCAGAAACACCGCCGATACTGTCGGCGGCGGAGCCGCCGCTGTCTGAAGCCGCAGAGCCTCCTGCTTCCGCGGGCGACGTTCGCAATGTGCTCCCATCTGTAGCCGCTGTGCTGCCTTCATCGTCCGATCTATGTGGGACAGAAAATATATTTTTGTGAAATATGTATTGCGCATAATGCGTTTATAGGAGACAAACTTGAATGTACACTTAGCTTAAACATGAATGGGATTGTAGCAAAGTACGACAGTCTACTAATTCATACAGTCGTCTAATAAATGCATCTAGATTCTAGACAGAACAGTCGAGGCGGATGGAAGGAGGCGCACCCGACTACTTTAGAATTCATTGATATAACTATAACTTGCTAAGAGATGGCATTATAACTTGAAGTTAACCATTCGCTATGAAGTCTATTTTTTGACAACTCTTACATTTCATAACATTTCAATCAAACTCAAACAATCTTATAATTCACCTACTGTATTGAGATTTATACTGTAGCAAGACTATATAAAAAAGTCTAAATATATAAATAAAAAAATACTAACCCATTAGGCGAAGCGGTGGCGTCGCTGTAGGCGGGCGCATGCGAGGCGTGCGGCGCGGACTGCGCGGGCTGTGCGGGCTGCGCCGGCGCGGGCGGCGGCGCGCGGCGGCTTTGCTCCTGCAGGGACAGGGCTATCGCCAGCTCCACCATTGTCTCGTCGTCAGCGTCTGCCGGTATGTCTAGTAGAGCCTCCAGACCTGAGCGTAGATATTATAACGTTAAAACAAAAAAAAAACACTTTTAAGCCTGTTTAATTACTGAGTCTTGGTGTTTAATTAAAGTTGTAAAAATTGCATGTGTTATTAAAGTTTCCTACTCTGAATCGATAAATAATATAATTTACATAAAGTACGATGCAATATTACATCCCTAATATTATTTATAAAAATAATGGTGATATAAAAGTTATTTTTAAAAATTATTATTTTATAATAATTAAAAAAATTACCACCATCGGGTGCGAGCAGAACCATGGGCTCGAGTGAATCATCCACATCCATGTATTGATTTTCTTGTTGTTCGTCGCGATTTGCGTTCAGTTCCGCTTCAGAAACTGCTGCCTCTGTTATAGAGCTTGCTGGTTGTGCTGTAGTTGCTGATGAAACAGCACCTTTTATATAAATGTAAATATTATAATTAAATGAGTAAATCTTAGATTTTCTGCTTCTAATGAGTTAACCCGCCAGTTTAGCCAGAAGGTATTTTATTTCTAAGCTCTAGGTGTCACTAGGTGGTAAATTTATGACTTTTAATAAAAATTGTAACAATTTAATATTGAATATTTTGAATAAATTAAACTTATAAATTTTTCCTACTACAGGCAGAATTTTACCAGGAGTATTCGGAGGAGATGGTATATACACTCGACGCCTCTTGACTCGAGGTCGCAAAACCCGCATCAGTGCTGCTTTAGTACCGAAACTTATGCTTTGGTCTTCAGCCAGTAGAAGGGATAAATAAATTTGATTTCCAATATCGATCTGTAACAAAACAATATTTCCTATCAAAATTTCAGTTAATTTTTTTGTGGTCTTTGAGTTCAGAAAAATCTCATAAAAACAGTTCTCCCAAAAATTCTTGTACCCAAAAACCTTATTCGAACTATTGCGAAAATATATAACAAATCAGTAAAATCGATCCACTTGTTCTTAAATGATTTCGTTTACCAACAGACAGTTTACATATACAATTTACTTATATGGTTAAATTAAAAAAGATATATATTTATCGATTACTTAAAAATTTACTGTTATAATTTTATATAACTATTGATTAACTAATATTAAATATCAATACACATTTAAGATATCACTTACACAGTCCGCATCGCCGAACATCTGGAAGGCGTGTATGGTGTCGGCGAGTGCGTGCAGCGTGTGGTCGGCGTGGCGCAGACCGTAGGACAGGATGCCGGGCGGGCCCGCGGTCTGGTTGCGGCACGCCGCCAGCTTCCACAGCACGCTGCTCAACAATGTGCACAGATGCGGCTCTCGTTCCTCTTCTTCTTGGTAACCGCCTTTCCATAAGCTTGACCAATTGCCTAATGTACAATGTATTGTTTTATTATTTAAATAATTCAAAGTTATTTTTTTGCGCGTTTCAAAATATTTGTTATTTCTAAAAATAGTTGTTAAAATATTTGTGTAATATTTTTTAAGATTTCTAAGTATAGTAATTGCTTAATGTTTAGTAATAGATGTATTTGTTGAGACTGAGTATTAGTTCCAACTAATCTCAGAAACTACTGAACGGATTTTCATACGGTTTTCACCAATAGAAAGAAGTATAGCGTAGAAAGGCTATAATTTATGAGCTATTAGGAATGATAATACATATTTGTAATTTAAGTCTGAAAAGTTCTTTTTTGAAAGGATATGTAATATAAACACGAGGAGAATCTAGGGGCACTAGTTTTTACTATTTGTTGAAACTTTACAAAAAGCTATGAAAACTTTACAATATCAAAACCACAATCTAACCATCAGCCGGTTTGGGCGGTGTGGGAGCACTGAATTTCAGCAGGTTGACAGGGCGCGCCACCGCCACGCCGCGCGCCAGCAGCACCAGCCGGAAGTACGCCTCGGGGTCGACGTTGCGCGCGTCCGTGGTGTCGCGCAGCTCGCATAGTGATGTCGACACGTATTTTAATATAGCTTGGTCCTGTTTTGGAGGGAGAAGTTATTTAAGTGATTGGACACATTTATGTTGTTTCATGGCTCGTGCTGGATGTTTGAGTTTATCTTATACTAGACATTTTCCTTTCTTCTGCTTACTCATTTAAACAGTTTTATTATTATTTATATGAATTTTATTCTTCTCGATTTCCCTATTTTTATTATTAACTTTTCAATATTTCTTAACTGCATTATTGTTCATAGACTTACCTTATTTAACATTCAACTTTATTGGTCAAAAAAAGTGTTTAGTGCACCATTATCTGGCAAGCTGCTCAAGACCAATAGATTATTCTTTATATCTAAATATACTACACGTAAGCTAGAGCCAAGTACACTAACTTTGAACTGATGGTACTGCCCCTGGTAGACGGCGCGCAGCAGACACTGCGCGCGCGCGTGCAGGTGCGCGGAGGCGGGCGCGCACAGCAGCTTGCGCGCCGCCTCCGTGCCCGCCTCCGTGCCCGCCGCCGCACCCGTGTTGGCCGGCGCGCTCGCGCCCAGCTCCAGCGCCTCCAGAGCAGCGCACGCGAGGCGCTCTAGAGAACTGGGCTTCCAGGCACCACTGTTATTCTCCGATTCCTACATAAAAAAATATTAATTTGGCTGAAATTTGTTACATATATAATTTAAACATTATATAAATAGTTAATCTTAATCCCTCCACGACCGCAGACACGCCGGCGTTACAGTTAACAATAGATTTCTTACCTGGAGGTGTTAAGACAAAATAAAAGCAAATTTCACCTGTGCCACTTTACTGGATGATGGGCAAGCAGATGGATCTTCATTTTCTTCTGGCCATCCAAATTGTTCCTTGTTTTTGCCATAAACCTTTAAAAAGATGAAATATCATAAGCATTGCTATAAAAATGATTAAGGACATTCAATATTAAGAAATACAGGTATATAATAGTTTTTACCTTAACAGATTCAACCATAGTAATACCATCTGGATCTTGAGATGGCCCAAAATTGATAACCAACTTTTTATCAGACTGCAACGATTCCTCGCGTGTTAAAGGAATGTCGAACCAACGGTTTCTAACGACTATAGTCTGAATAGATCTCCCATACACCTAAAATGTAAAATGAATGTAAAAATAAAAAAAATTAGAAATCAAAAAGCATAATACATATATTTTTCAAAAAAATAATAACATACCTCCACATATGTTGGTGACCTAGCAACATCCTGACTACCCAGCAAGACGCGTATTCCGCAAATAACCATGTTGGGGTCAGAGTTAACAACTTCCATAGAAAACCCACTCATTTTTGTTGACACCACATACAAACCTGCGAATAACGCTCAGGTATTAGAACTCTTACAATTAGAATAAACACACAATCAAGAATTGCAAATGTTATGCACTTGACATGGAAATATTAAAGTTTAAGTGTATAATGCTATAAATCCACGGTAAAAAAATATTAACTTACCAGTAGTATTGAGTCGGTGCTTTATCTGTGCAGTGTTGTAAACTTGAAGAAGATCATTCCCACCAAATTCAATATCGCTCATAGCAACACAATGTTCGAAGAAGTCGATCGGGAACTGTGGTGTTCCATTAGAGTTCGATTTTGTCACAGTCTGAAAAGTATTCTATGTTATAAAATTATATTCTTACTATTAATTTACAATATTTATATATTTTGTAATGAAATGTTTGTATTGTATTACTTGTTTGCAGCATGTTTTTATTTGTTTCAAATATTTGTAAATTTCAACCTATTGATTAGACACTTTGTAAGTTTATATGTATTGATTATATTGTACTTTGTAAGTGTGTATGCATTGATTAGACACGTAGTATGTGAAATCTGGATGACAGTCGAGTAATTTAGTATCATAGAGCTTGACAGAGAGATGGCCAGAGCCAGGAAGAGGAATAGTCTTGGTTACCATGGTTACTACTGAGATCTATATATATACTTCAGGTTTATACGATTGTTTCAAGTCTCTGTCTACATTTTAAACATAAATCCATTTTTACGAGAAATCTTACTAACAAAATTTAATTAATTTATATATATAATAATAACCTGTTGAGTTTTCCCCTTGGCATGGTGAGTGAGCAGACGCGGGCGCCGGCGCGGGGCGTGCACGGGCTGTATGGCGGGTGACAGCCAGTAGCCGGTGTGGTCGTGGTTGGCGGCGTACATGCGCAGGCTGCCGTCCTCGCACAGCAGTATGAGCGTGCTCTTCTGCTCGCCGCCGCCGCCGCACCAGTGGCGCACCGCTACCATATCCGTTATCTTTGCTTTCGCTGGTACCACCTGATCAAATGTTATAAATGTATGTGATCACTCACACTCAACTAATCCATATTAATTATCTAGTTGTCTAAGGAAGGCAATAGGCTAGACATAAAAATCGTGTGTAGCGACACTAAAGCACTTCAACTTAGAACCCGTTCACCATGAAAATTGTAAGTTTTTAAAACCTTTGCACTTGTTGGGACTTAATTCTTCATGCTGAACGAATTTAAATGAAATTTAGTACATAGATACACTCTAGATTTAAAATAACACGTCAGAAACTGTTTTAGGACACAAAAAGCAACAAGACCTTGTCAAGAAGTGCGTGAGCAACGCGCACATTTTAAACTACTTAAAAAATATTCTAGTTATTCAGGTAATGATGATACAAAATCATGTTTTGCCATTGCTACATATTGCCACAACGCAACGAAAAAACCTATTCTAAGGATCATTTATCTACCTTAATCTCCTGCACAAATATATTATTGGGTGTTAGCATTAGCACGACGGGGTTGTTGGACGTCTGCATGACGGCGGTGACGAGGCCGGGGTGGCCGGGCACCTCTGCCCACTGGCACAGCGACTGCACGCCGCCCTGCTTGCCGCGCCCGCCTTCCTTCTGTACCGCCGCTGACGATAGGGTTATCATGGCAGTACCTGGATATAAATGAGAAAGCATTTTATATGTATACTAGCGACTCACCGGACACTTCGCTTGGTTTCGTCCCTAGCTTGCTTCCCAATACAAAATTTCATCCTCATTTTCACTCCCTAAGGGATGATTTCCGGGATATAAAGTATCTTATGTCCTTCCCAGGGTCTCAAACCATCTTCTTACTAAATTTCAACTAAATCGGCACTACAACGTTACAAACTCACATACTTCACCTCTTTATAATATTAATATAGATAACATACATTTTGAATAAAGTATGTCCATAATTTGTGATCCAATTTGATTATATTGATATTGGCACAGAATAGAAGTTACTTGAAAGTTTGTTCTATTTACTTACTAATGTAGTAAGAATACTTTTTTTTACCTTTAACACTATCTTCAACTGTATTTAGTGGTGCTAAGAAGCTTTTGCCTTGAGCATAGGAGAAGAAGAGCATTCTTAAAGTGTGTGAATAGTATATCGACACTCCGCCACCTCCGACTAATCCAGCAACATCCTATAAAATAATTATTATGAAAATATTATATGTAATACAATGTTTGACATTCATTGTAAAAGAAAAAAAATATCAATTTACCTGAATTTCTGGGTGTAAGACTTCAAGGGTGTTTGTTACATAGAAAGTGCCTAATATCGCTCGGGATTCTTCACTCATAGGCTGCCAGTAAATGTGTCCCGCGGAACTCATACACAACATGTGCATTATATCATCTTGGTTTACAAAAGTCACATCACGAACCTTTGAATAAGTAAAAACATACCAAGTTTTTAATAGCTGATGGATATAGACATTTTTCAAAATTAATCAAATTATCGCAAATATAAACTGTAAAGATGAAATGTGAAATAATGAATATATGGAAAGAATATTATATTTGTTAGACAATAACAACGGCTACCATGGCGACATTGCAGTGTATTCTATCTCATCTTTCGCCGGCTTAATCATATAATCTGTGTTTGTCTTTTTTTAGCGTCGCATTTTCGAGTTTCAAATCACAACGCTTCTAAAGAAGTTTGACTTCAAAAAGACATCCTTTATCAAAAACTAAACAAATACCTTTCCACTGGGTACCAGGAAATGATGCATAGGGTTGTTCAAATCCTTGCTCAGATCGAATATCTTGACGAAGTCGGACGTGACGAGCGCGAGTTGCGTCTGCGAGCCCGGCAGCCATATCGCTTTGATCACGTAGTTGTTGGCTTCCAAACCTGTGTTCAGCACTAAGTGGTCGGCAACCGCTCCTTTTAAAATTACAAAGTAAAAAAATTAATGTGACAGGTCTACTATTTGTTTAGGACGATATTTTACTACTACTTCAATTTCAGTTCTTATAATATGTATTTTTAAATTACTAAAAAACAGAAAGCAATTAATATACATATAACAATTTAATATAGCTAAAAAGTAGTATCTCTCTTGTCTGGACAAAGATAATTTATAATATCGCATTTAGAAATTGCAATAGTTTGATTTTGTTGGAATTATTATTTTTAGTATAAAATTATTTCATTGCTCTTGTTAGTGTTCATATTTATTTTTTTAATTAAAATTACTTTAAAAATATAAAAAATATATTATTATTTTAATAGTTTAATAAATGTTCACTTACCACCACTATTAAATGTCAGCACATGGCACTCCTTCAACCCACACACGGCCAGAAGATCTTCATTACAGGGGTTTCCGCTTAGACTTAGTACAGTAAATGGAATTGGTGCAGATGAAAGCCGGGTTAGAGTCAACTTATGCTTTGACGAATCTGCTTGTTTTAGTAAGGCTGATAATTGTAAGACCGTTATTTTTCCTGTAAAGAAAATATACTTGTTTAATACTCTAATTATATATTACATGTGATATAATATGATAATATTTTTTAAGTTATTATTTACTATAAATATTTTATATTTTTAGGTAACAGATAAATCCAAAATCATTTAAATTCATATAAATTGTCTTTACTTTTATCATAAATATGTTAAATATAACGAAGCGATTGTTAAATGCAGTAACAGTATAATTTAAATTTAAGCTAGATTTTTCTTTTTTTATTTTGAATTTAAAATATCGGAAACAGAAATATAAAATAGTCGGATAAATAGTTATATAATATATATTATTTATATATACTGGTTTAATAAATTAAGTCTAAATATAAAACTGTCGAACCTTTCTCATGCGACACAGCGAGATGCTGCCGACGGCCGTGCGGCGAGGCGAGACAGCACATGGCCACGCGCCGCAGCTTGTGCGCCGACATCAGCTGGCGGATGGTCTGACCGTTCTCGCCGGTGTACGACATGCGCACGTTCTCAAATGCACCTTCTTGGGAACCTGGACGAAAATATTAAAATAGCAAATAAAGCAGACACACAAATAAACCATCCCATGTTATAGAGAGCTATAACTTTGGACTTTCACAATCAACCAAATTGCCACAAGGAAGGTTTGGACCGGTAGACTATGAGCTTAAAGTACACAATACATGTACACAATAAGGTAGAATAACAGGCTATTGCTAGGCACTTAAGGATGTTAATGTCTAAGCGAGAGTAAATCGGTATTTATTTTATAAAAAAAAATGTTCAACAAATTCTTATTGGCACCATGTTAAATGATATTTAGTGTTATAGAGATATAAAAGAAAATAAATGTATACTAATACATATTATAAAGAGGTAAAGTTTGTGAGTTTGTGACGTTGTAGGAGGTAATCTCTGGATCTACTGAACCGATTTAGACGAAAAGTAAGAACATAGTTTGAGGCCCAGAAAAGGACAAAGGATACTTTTTTTCCCGGAAATCATCCTTTAAGGGGGTTAAAATGGGGATGAAAGTTTGTAGGCGAATAACATGTACAGTTATAACCATATAAAATGAAAACTAACCAAGAGTAGGCATCATGAGTGTGTCAGTATGAGTGAAGCGCTTCTCGCCGAGGTGCAGCTGCGCGAGCGCGCGCTGTGCGCGTCCGTGCGCGCCGACGGCCGCGCCGCGCTCGCACGCCGCGCGCACCGGCCCCGCCAGCGCACCCAGCAGCCGCCGCACGCGCTCCAAGCAAGCAGACCAGCCGCTGTACGATAGGAGGAACGAGCGACAGCCTGCGAGCGAAAACAATCATTTGGAATTAAAATAAAGTTTTATCTACTATTTATAATAATAGCGTGATTCATCTGGAGACTTATTTTGTTATATAGTTTAAACTACACGCTTTTCCACACTTGACATTGTTTTAAGTTTAAGCAGAATTATTACATTTGTCAATCAATACTTTACAGGTTTTAAAAATGTTTCAGATTAATAATACTTGTATGGTTTACTTACTTTACTTGAAGGCATATTTCACAACTACACTACCTATTAAACAACACAATAAAGGGAGACCTAAATCCCAATATCATATCTTTCAGAGACACAACCGCATTAAAGTTGCATTATTAACGCCATCAATACAGTTTGCTTACTACCGTTTTTGATCTTGTGTCACATTTCTTCATACGATTATACTATATTATAGTATCGAATAAGTAATAAAAATAATCTGTATAAATATTATAAATGTGAAAGTTTGTGAGTATGGATGTTTGTTATTCTTTCACGCCAGAACGGCCGAACGGATTTTGATGAAATTTGGCACAGAGATATATCATAGTCTGGAATAGCACATAGGCTTCTTTATATTCCTGAAAAATATACAGTTCTCGAGGGATAGATTTTTTTTTTTGAGGCGACAAGTGAGCCATTAGTATTTGTATAATTTATAAGCAAAACTAGTTTTTTAAAAACATGTCATATATTATAGCAACAACTCATTAACTACCTTGAATATTATGCGCGAGCACAGGGCGGCGAGGAGGCGCGTAGGTAGCTGGAGGTGTAGGGCTCGAGGGACGACGTCTGATAGACGGGGCGGGAGGGGTCTCCTCCGCTCCAGCAGAGGCACCGCGAGCGCCACCTAGCGTTACCGATCTCTTGACTAGAGCTTGGCAGCTGTTACAATGATAATTATGAATATATTAATTCTGTAATATATTATAATTGTACATGTTTATCGCACTCGAAATTTTGATAGTTATTATTAAAGTGTATGTTATGTTTATTTAAGTATTACTTTTGTAAGCACATTAATAATAAATTTAATTTATATGTAACTAATAATTTAAATAACACATTAATAATTCATAGAAATACACTTATTTACCTAGAATCAGGTTTAGCCCCACAGTCGCAGAAAAAGTTACCAAACTTGGCGTATGATACGTCGTGTCCACGATGGCACACGCGCGCGCATACCGTGCACACGCCCACGCCGTCCACCATCTTGCACGTATGACAGTGGTACCAGTGCTGGTTCATGAACTCCCGCTGGGTCACCGTGAACGTACACAGTTTGTATTGCAGCATTGCGTCTTCGTCCTTTGCGAAATATAAATAAAAAGTATAAATTACAGAGAATAAGTAGGTACTCAATTGGGTTGTGTGTTTTATTATCTATGTTGAGAAAATTATACTCCAATAGTTTTAGTTTAACAATTCGTTTTTGTTATAAAAAGATTATACCTAAAAAGAAAATACTAAATAAACATCAACAGAAATGTTACTCTAAAACTTTACGTTAATTTTGAAGTCAGTGTAAAATTTTATTTGCAAAGTGTTTATTATAAATTAATAGTAAACATTCAATATTTTACTTTGCGTTAAAATAACAGATATCATATTGTACTCACGGAATCATCTGCACTCGTATCGTCGTCATCTTGTTGTTCATCAGTGTAGTCCAAGTCAAACCCGAGGTCTGATGGAGACTCCCAAGTCGGACTGACTGACCGCCAAGCTATTTAAACATATTGTGAATTATTATATAGTAACATTTGCATAGTAATTTGTAACTAATAACTAACATATCATTTTAATTGTACTTACTATGCGGTTGTGCTGTACCAATCGCGTGTAAGGCATCAGCGAGATATGAAAGTAAAACGCACGCAGACTCGATTTGAGAAATAAGAGTGGCATCTAACTGTCCTTCTTCTAACTTTTCTAATACATCTGGACTGCTGAGGTTATCCACACTGTTAAAGAAATAAATGTTTTTTTTTTATTGCTATGCAACAATTAACATATTACTATCTATATATACAAACTCATAGCAATAAAAAATAAAAATAATCCCCTACCATATAAAAAAAAATATTTCCTTTTTTTTGTAAACTTATTTAATTTAGCTTAAAAGTTTGTTTTTATTTTTGTTTTATAAATGTTATTTTTGTTTAATTTGTGAATGTATGTAAATATTTTTTCTGTAATTTTGCTGGTGGAGGGCGTTAATAATTGCGACACAGTTTTTTAACTTCTGCAATTATTATCGTTAATAACTGTTTTTGCTATATATGTACTGATATTTCAATAAATAAATAAATCAAAATTCAACTACATAATTGATAATATTAACAATTCAAAAACATTTTGACATGAGGCCATTCACTATTGAGGATTAGCCATCAAGTAGTGAGGCTGTCCTAAAACTATAATAATAAAAACATATTTAGATTTACCAAGCAGATAGCCAGGACAGCGCGGCAGGGAACAGATGCCGGTGGTCGGCGCCGGCGTGCGCGTCGGCCAGGCGGCACAGCTCGCGTAGCAGCACCGGCGTGCACGCGGCGCCGCTCACGCTGATCAGCGCGCCCACCATACGCTCGCTCACCTTCTCACCGCTAGAGATATAATAATAATAATAATAAATATTTTCGGTAAAGTAAAACATCGTGAGGAAACCTGCATGTCTGAGAGAACCTAACAAGTTTTCGAAAGACATGTGAAGTCCACCAACCCGCATTTGGCCAGCGTGGTGGACTATGGCCTGATCCCCCTCGTATTGAAGGAAGGCCCGTGCCCAGCAGTGGGACGTTAAAAAGGGCTGAATACATACAATAAATCTTTATTTCGGAACACTTTTCCATACAATTTGAGAAATAGGTAAATCAAAATTAAATTATAAAATAAATACAAAAAATTTCTACATTAAGAACAATAAATAAAATTAAACATTTAAACTAAAACATAACATGTCATGTTATATATATAAAATTCTTTATACTATGTCTGGAGAAATTTGGCCCAAAATCTTTAAATTTGAGGATCGTAGCTGCCTGCATGATAGAATTTGTGCTGTCATTTATCCTCTGTGATGCGATTCTCTTTCTTATGACAACAACAAAACCATTAGTGCGAGCCTCGTACAACATCCATGACGCATTACAATATTTAGGCAGTCTAAACTATGTATGCTATAGGTTTTATATTTACATACTTTTATATTGGGTATGGGAAGCCTTATTATTTTATTTAGCTCGAATAAGAATATCGAGTATTCAGCCCTTTTGTTAGTGTGCCACTGATGGGTCTGTCGGCTGTCCTCAATGCAAAGGGGAACAGATAGTTCACACACAAGAATGGCTGAGCGGACAATTTACAGATCTTTCGAAAGTTAGTTTTTCTCAATTATGCAGATTTCCTTCAGATGTTATGTCACCATTTTAGAAACACAGAAACCGCATATAAGAGCAAGTTTGATATACAGAACATATAAATTAAAAATACGTAATATATTATAATATATATTATACAACTCTTAAAATTATTCGAAGCACATACCCATGGTGAACAATATGCTTGCAGAGCAAGGAGAGTAGCGTGGCATTGTCGTTAGAGGATTCTGCTACAGGAGTGCTGGCATCCGCGGTAGCGGCTGCTGCGCCATTCTCTTTGCTAGCTTCGGACCAGCTACCACTTTCTGCATTTAATTATTTCATATATAATTTATATATAATAATAGCAGTATTACAATATAATAATAATAACAGTATTACAATGTTTCTTCAAACATATAGTTTAATTCAAAATCAAAATCTTAAACAAAAACGTTAAAGTAAATCAGATGAGTTATCATAGTTATAGACAAAAAATATTACAAACAAAATGAGTAAAATAAAATAAGTTTTAATTCATACCAGAATTCGCAGATTGCTGAGCTGCTTCCGACTGAGCTCTAGGGGCTGGTGATCTGTGAAAGTAAAAACGACTTAGTAATGCAAATATATATGCCTAAATGATTACTCAAGTTTAATCTTTGTGTCAATAGATGCAATGATTTCTCTTAAAATACATACAGACGAATACAAAAGGTCTCCAACATTTGACAATAGATCCGGATAAAGAGGATTAAAGATCTATTCAGGCAAGCTATGAACAAAGGAGAATTTAGCAGGATGACTGCCGACCCTTAGTAATTGGAGAGGCACTTGAAGAAAAAAAAACATAGAACCAAAAAAGAGGAGCCTTTTTTGGATTCGTTTAAATTATAAGACTTGAACACTTACGGAGTATCAAAAACTGGCAAATCTTGATCATTCCGGTTGCCATTATCGTTTCTGGCCGCTTCGTCTGTACGGAACACTGAGCGTAGTGCATTCCTTAGAGCCAGTGAGGCGGGGTTGTTGCCCTCTGGTGCGGAGGAAGTAGGGGTCGGGAGTTCGGCCTCTGTGGGCGATCCATTGGCCGTGCCCACGTTGCCGTTTGTAGTTGACGCTGTATTTAAATTATATTCTTCTTAGTAATAATGCTATTTATAAGTGTCTGATTAATATAAAACATTATTTATGGGGTAAATATTTCGGTAATAACTTGATAAATAAAAAAAGGATTTGATATTTTAATGAATTATATGTATAAAGAAAAGTATTTTAAATACCTGGTGTAGTTAAACAGATGTGAGAAAGAAGGTTGAGAAGTTTTTGATGATCTGCTACTCCGATAAATTTACTAACTGATATGCACAAAGCACTATTTAGTTCTGAATTTTCACAACCATTAAATATCTTGATGAAGAGCCTGTAACAAATAATAAGAATATTATTAAGTCTAAATACATACTATGTACTTATCTGCCATAGAACAACATTTTTATCTAATAAGATTCACTTCGAAGGGTAGGGATAGAAAGCACTTTTATTTGAAGCATAGAGGTATCACGTCTATAGTAATATGAAAAAATTAGAACTACTTACTTTATAACCCTTTCAGTATAGATGCTTCTGGCGTTAGGGGCGGATAGTAAAATTTTGCCGAGGACGTATTCTGAATTATCGGCAAATACATTTTCGTATGCTACTCGTCCTGCTGGTCTCTCTAGAATCTTCTCCCAGTATATTACCTAAGAAACAATAATACATAGGTAACATTCATTACACATTTTTAATATATTTTTTTATTATTAGAAATATTTTTTTACCAGTATATTTTTTTTTATAACTTACCATATATCTTAAAGTTTTTTCTGTGGAAGGCTGCAAATGATCGACTAACACAGTGTACGTTGTTTTTAAGATATGTTCGTGTATGAGTTGTTCTGCCTTATTAGCTTGTGGGACCAATATATTCAACGTCGCCGCTAGTGGTTCCGACAAGAATTGAAGTCGACCGTCCGTCTGCATAAAAATATTAATTTTAAAGTATGAATAAATAGAAAATATTTCACTGTTTTAATAACTTGTTTTATTTTCAGAAGTATATAAAACCCTAAAAAAATACATTGTGCAAAAAATACATATCACTTATATAAAACTACATACAAATATAAATTTTACCAAAGCCGGCACAATGAGGTCTAAAGTCTTCTTAGTCAATGCGGTGTTGTCAGCCAGTTTGCTGGCGCCTATTTCCAGGAGTTGCGCCGCAGAGTACGCTAGCATTGTTAGGGACGCTCCAACTGAGTACTTCTCGTATTTGGTCATTAGCTCACAGTGCGACGAAACGAGCAGAAGTACTGCGCTCTCGGATGGGATGACGTGCGACTCGAAGAAGGTCTATATTAGATTAAAATAAATGCATGTAATTATAACGTTACTTTATTTTTTCTTTGCTTTTGCCTTTTTTAGCAGGAAGACATTTTGCACATGTATGCTAAGTTTACTCTCCGGCATGGAGACGCGGCAAAACGGATTACTTCTCAATATTGGATTGTTAATAAACTTAAGAATATAATGATATTTATACTGAAACAAACATACGTTTAACAATCTTGATTTTTATATAAAGTTTAGTCATCGTGGACTGAATTTAAAAAAATACATATACGGTAAAAAAAATTAGTCATATTAACCGCATTAACAGCGAGCGGTGGAGGCAGAGCGCACGCGGCCGGCAGCTGCGCCTTGAGCCAGGAGCCGAGCGCGGGCGCGCCGGCGCCTGCCGCGCGCTCTACGCCCGCCACGCCGCACACCTGCAGGCGCGCCGCCGCCGCCGCCGCCTCCGCGCCCCCGCCCGCGCCGTCCGCGGGCGACCCGTCCGCCATCGCGATCTCTATGTTAGCGCTCAGCCTGACATACGAATGAGTATACTATTATAAAAATATTATTTATAAATTAAATAATATTAAGCACAGAGTGTGTGAATGTTCGTGTGAATTATACTATAATCCTTACTTTATTTATAAAATATTCATACATCATCAAATTATTCTACCAATGCAACTGCTCAACCTCCCTGATATGAAGCAATATTTGAAAGAAACTATGAAGAAATCCTTATATTCAATAAAAAGACATCTAGTTTAAAGTTTTTATTTATAAATAAATGCAAAATAAAAATTATTAAAAAAACTAAATTCATAAAATATCCACCACGTTGGAGTCCGCTACAAAGCTAACCTAAAACTATTTTTTTAATAATAACTTACCGACAACACTCTAGGACAGTCTTCAGTAAATCTAATAAATCAGGCATAAACTGGTGAGCCTCCGATGCTGATGCAGAATCAATGAGACACACTTTCAACCTCATGAGAGCTGCATCGCATGATATTACGTCGAGAAGGCATGGCAGACCATGTGCTAAAAAATACAAATAAAAAATTATATTTTCTTAGAAAAAAAAATAAGAAAATTATATGTAAATAATTTGTACATTAAACTTACGACCCATATTTCGTTCGAGATGTTTAATCGTCTCAGATGCGAGCCATGCAGTGTACTTGATATTATCGCAGGATGCACTCACTCCAGAGAGCAAATTTTCAGCATACTGTATTGGAAAAAAATATATTAATTATACCGTATTTGTACATAAATTAAATAAAATTATTCTCCTTTTCAAAGTAATAAAATAAGCCTTATTTTATTCACAAATATGACTAATACACTATAACTAACCTGAGTATACATTCCTTGTTTCACAAGAGCATCTTTCAGCCAGGAGTTGAAAAGCTTTTTACCGTCGGCTCTCGGCGCCCACACTATGGCGTGAAGAGGCAAGGGCGACGGCAGGTCGGCTGCCGTACCCGCTTGTAATTTATCCATATGCGGTGTCGCTGGAGGCATGCTTATTACCAATCTGGTATAAAAACAGTTACATATTCATAAAACAGAAATAGAGTGAAGTTTTTGAAAATAATTACATTTTTTTTTCTAAAAATAATTTAAACAAACAAAATTACATAATATCCCTTTTTATTATGATTTATATATACATACTATATACAATATGAATGGCTTATTACTTAATATAACTATTAAGAATTAATATAAGAATACTTCTGGGGTAATTGAATCCCTAATTTGTATGCATGTATTAAAGACTAGCGACTCATAGGGTGATTCCCTATACAAACTTTTATCCCCATTTTCACCCCCATAAGGGATGATTTCCGGGATAAAAAGTATCCTATGTCCTTCCCAGGGTCACAATCTATATTCTTACTAAATTTCATTTAAATCGGTTCAGTAAATCTAGACATTACCCCCTACAACGTCACAAACTTACAATTCACAAAATTTACCTCTTTATAATATTAGTTTAGATATTGATGTGTTGTTTTGTTATTTAAATAAAAAAGCCCACCTCCAAGCCGTCTGGAAACAATAATGAGCGGCGCACAGAGCGGCCGCGTTGTTATGATTCTGCGGGTTGTCGCACACACACGCAGAGTTCAGCAGCGACAGCAGCGCGTCCAGCAGCAGCGGGTACTTGAGCTTGTGGGGCGTTCCTAGCACGAAGTTGCACGCTAGCCCGTCTAGTTTGGGGTTTTCCTGCAAAAGTCATATTTTATTAATCCATACTAATATTATAAATGTGAAAGTGTGGTTGTTTGTTTGTTTGTCTGTTCTTCTTTCACGTCGAAACGGAGAGACGGATTGGCGAGTTTTTTGTGGAAAGAGATAGTTCTCTAACTATTTCTCCTGGCCTGGGGAGTGACATAGGCTTATCTTATTTCCACGGCAAAACACGTTATAATACAATTCAAAAAAAATATTTAATATCAGAATTACTTGAAACTTGATATTATAAATGCTCTTCAATACAATTAAATAAATACGTTTTTTAGCATTTTTAGAAATTCATCCTATAATGGGGTAAAATAGGAGATGAAAGTTTATATGGAACCTACTTTTATCGAGTTTTTTTTTGTAGTTTTAGCACGAGCGAAGCCGCGGGTTCTGTTAGTTTCCTATAAAGGTGAAAGTTTATGAGGATGTATGGGTGTATGTTTATTAATCTTTCACGCTATAACTAGGATGAAACTACAGTAACACATAGCTTATTCATTAAAGTAACACCTAGATGGTTCTGTTTTATAATGGTTCTGATTTATAGAAATATAGTAAGTAATACACAATTGACATACGCGGGCAGAGCTGCGGAAAAAAGTCTAGTATGGGCTAATATTTTGAATTTAAAGTCACAAAATATTTGACAGATGGAGAATATGTTAATTGTTTAGTTTTGTGTCCAATGATAATAGTTCTTAGCATTGTATATTTACTAAGTAAATAAAAATAATTTAATACTTTTAAGTACAACATTTAAGCTGTGTTACAGCACAAGACTGCGACCACTAATTAATTACCTATTTACTAAAAAATATAAATTACACTCTTAAATGTGGAAGTGTTTTTTTTTAAATAAATATTCTACTATCCTAAATATATCGCGTAACAAATACACAGAAAAATAAAAGCGAATTGAGTACCTCTTTTTTTTTTGATTTCAGTCAAAAACAAAACGTTAAAAATGTAGCAGTACCTGGTTATTTATCTCAGCGTTGGTGAGCGCATAGAACTTAGGTCTCATAGACGAGTCGTCTTGTGTGGGCTGTCTGTAAGCTGCTTCTATCAACGGCACTTCGCAATAAATGCGGGACTTTAGTAGGCCGTTATCAGTAGTCGTCTTTGCACCACCGTTATTTGCATCTGATGATGACTGGGCTAGTCCGGGGGATATCACTAGATTCCACTCAATCTAAAATTGCAATATTTCGTCAAAATATTTAAACTAATCTTTACAATATTAATATGCCGTTTATATTTAAAAATAATAATTTCGTCTTCAAATTTTACTGTAATCACTATACAAATATTTACCTGCTGCAATAAGCACTGTGGTGCATCATACAGATGTTTCATGAGGTATTCTAATAATAGCATGAGTCTGGTGATCAGCATGAGCTGATGTGGAGCTAAATTCATTGCACGCTTTCTATCATTTATTCCGAGAGTTTCTACAACCTATAAGAAAAATAAATCTGTTTTTAAAATTGGCTTAGAACATGAAGTTATTAAACTTATAAATAAATAATTGAACATATCTAAAATGACTTGTATAGAAGATTCAAAAATAATTACCAATATATACCAATGTCTAACCAATATAAGCAATGATCATCTTCAGGTAAAAACTTGTACTTTAAATCAATAGGCACTAAAAATGCCAAAAACAACAGGCTTATTTATATTTTACTTACTTTAATAATAGCATTGGACGTGGTCAGTAGAACAGATTTTTTCTGCATCAGTGTCAAGGAGTGGAACAAATAGACAAGGAGCTGGGCATGTTCAACATTCAAATCTGTAACAAAAATGCACATAAAATTTGTTTCTTAACGTGTTGTATTTTTTTGGCTTCAAATGAATAATTTAAATGATAATCATTAATTGAATTAATTTTCCACTACTATTAATTATTTTTCTATAAGTTCTGACATTTTAGTGAAGAAAAAACCTCATATTTCATATAAATAATAATATGCATAAGAAAGTTAGTTTTAATACATAAGTTCTGGTAAAACAACATTATTTTTATTTTATCTTTATTAATACTTGTGTTTAGCATACCTTCATAATCATGGTCTTGGTTGGGTTGGCTCTGCAGAGCGCACTCCTGCAGTGTATTAACTATCTTATGCCACATAACAAGGATACTATTTTCGCGTTCCGGTGCCGCCTTGCTAAGTACCATACCACCCAGTAGTTTCGCTACACGTGGGCCGACCTGTCGTATTTACAATGATTATTTTAGTATTTAAAAATTAATTAAAGCAAGAAAACACATATAAGCAATTTATGCACATGTGAAAAATTACAGATTTATTTGAAAAAAAAAATAGAAACATATTTAGATTAATTATGGTTATCTAAGGAAGAAAAATCTGCAAACTAAACATATACTTAACACATACCTGTAAAGGTGTCATGTTATTTCTTTCAGTGCCAGTGGATACCAGCTGTTGCTGCAGTACAGGCTGGAGGTTGTGCAAGTACCGAACTAGTGCTGAGCTGAATGCGGCGTACAGCGCGCCTAGTCGAGCTCCGAAACATGGTGATATTGTACCTAACATAATAAATAAGGATTTATTTTCTATATGTTATACAAATTATCATTGAATTCAAAGAGATTTTTATTGTTTATAGCCAAAAGGAGAATATTTGGTAAGACATAGTTTTATTAAATAAATGTTTTCTTTATAGAATTCTTTACTACTACATGATATTTGTAAACACTATCTATAATTAAAAACCATACCAGTGTCAGTTCTAGCTGTCTCTCGGTCCAAGTCTTTAGCTAGAGCAGCCAGCAATGCTTGATGCGCTTCATGAAGTTGCAGCGCGTTAGGGCCCAATCGTTCTACGCCCTCGCCGAGGATTTCCTCAGTTAATAGATTAAACACTTCTGTTGCTAGTGTTATGTACTAAAAAAATACACATTCTCGTTAAAACCGAATATAAAAGCAAATATATAAACTATTATTGATTTAAGTTTGTTTAATTTGAATTATTCCATTGAAAAGTTTAATCCTTCATTTTAAATTAAAGGTTTTCATTGGGATCTCCTAAATAAAGAATAATAAGAAATAAAAAATGTACTAAACATTATTTTTATTACTACATTTAACTAGTACAACTATAAAACACTTACCGAATAAGGTTCAGCCTTATCCGGCACAATAGCCTGCTGCGGACGAGCGTTGGTCTCGTTGGAGTTATCGTTGTCGTTGGCGCCGGCGCGCGTGAGGCCGCTGTCCAGCGCGTCGGGGGCTACTAGTGTCGACTCGAACCACAATCCGAAGAGTGGTTCACTATCTTCTGTTGAATATGTTATTGCATAAATAAACTTCATAGCTATTAAATTAATAAAGGTATCATAAGTGATATATCACTTTCCTACTAATGCATAAAAAAATTGTATAAGCATCTATCAGGTAAAGATCGTCAAAAGCCAGACATCATGCAATGATACCTGCATTTCTAATAAAGCACAATTACTTTTCGAAAGACGTGAGAAATCGACTATTGTTTACTTCTCCTATGTTGATCGAAGGCCTATGCCTAGCTGAGGGATGTTGAAAAGGTGGAATAATATTACTTAAATTAAATGCGAAAGTCACTGTCTGTCTCTCTGTTCCCTTTTTACGCTTATTCCTCTGAATCGATTCAGGCAAAATTTGGTATGGAGACAGTTTGAGACTCTGGGAAGGACATAGGATAGTTTTATCCCGGAAATCATTACTTAAGGGGGTGAATAGGGGGGTGGAGGTTTGTATAGGGAATCAATCATTTCTCAATATAATCTTATAAGTTATCAAAACAACTCACCATCATCAGTTTCAGAATCCTCAGAGCAAAGTATCATGTCCTGGAAGTAAACCGTGGAGTCGGACCTGTCCGGGTCGGCGTCCTGGTGCTGTTTCTGCACCACTGCTCTCTTTAAATTCGTCGCTTTACGGTAGCACACAACGCCGAGCGATACTAAGAGCTAAATTGATAAAATAAACTTTATTTAATAATATTGTTTCAAAACTTTAGTTGATATATGTTGCAACTATTAAAAAGTTTCCATATAGAAAAAAAAAGGTTTAACCCAAAAATTTATTTTATTGCTCTGCAATATGGATAGATTTTCTCAAATAAGTATTCATATATGAAATGACCTAAAATAATAGAACCACAAAATATATATATTACAGATTTATTATTATTAATCTAATAACGATTATATTACAATACAAACCTGATGTAAAGGTGCCGCAGATATAAGTCTCAGCTCCCTCTGGTGGGCGGTGTGGTGAGCCAGTATCTGCAGGGGCGCGGGCGTCTCACTAGTGGTGGAGGGGCTTGTTACGCTGAGTGCTTCGAGCCGAGCGTCTGAGAGCAACGCACCGGTCCACGCCAGGCAGCGACCGCCCAATGCTACCCACACTACACTCAGCCCTTGTTGCCTAAAAGAATTAAATAATTATTTTTATGGAACAATAATATATGGATGGCATCTTCATTATCATTTTCACATTCACTTTTTGTGAGATAGACAGATCATAGTTCATACAGACCATTCTGTTGTTTATTTTGAGTTGTATAATTAATTCAAAAAGCGCTACACAAATAAAAATATAACTATATTTGCTATCTTATACAAAGACATTTCTATTTAAAATACTTTTGTTAAATCTGAAATTCATCACATATTACAACAGTTAGATGTACCATAACAACAATTTTAAGAAATCTATACTAATATTATAAAAAGGCAGAATTTGTTTGTTGTCTGTTTGAATGTACTAATCTCAGGAACTACTATACGATTTGAATTAGATAGCCCGTTTATTGAGGAAGGCTATAGATCATCATGCTACTACCCAAGGGAGTGGAGCAGTAATAATAAATGTCAACAAATCGGGCAGACTTCCATACATTATTGTAAAACTATATATAATAATAGGGACGAACACGAGCGAAGCGGGGACGCGTCGCCAGTGAATGATATTGTGAAATCTGCCACCTTAGTGAAGAATCAAAGTTACTAGATTCAATCTTCCACCAACTTACTTTTTTTTTACTTTATTCAAACAGACTACTAATATATTACAGGCACTATTGAATCGTCAATTTTACATTTCTAAATTTAGATTAAATGTCAGTATGTAAGTCCGTGAAGAATGTACCACCATTGACTGGTCTTTTTAAAAATAATATTAGTTTACAATAATACAATACAATGATTTTGTTCTCATCCTACGTGAGTATCAACTAATAACTAATAAATATTCCACGACAGAATAATATGCTTTGCTCTATAATATATAGATTTTAAAAAACATAGCATTATAAAATTAAATATATATTTACATTTTAGTAAGATTGTATGGACGAGAAGGGACCTTCGCCGGGCTCTTAGGCGCGGAAGGCCCGGGCGCGCCGGCCAGCGCGTGGTGCAGGCCACAGAGGAGCACCCACGCTCCAATCATCAGATGGTTTTGATATACCTGTTAAAATATATTTTAGATTATTAATTAACATAAAAACCAACTTCCAAAAATACTAAAAAGTAAAAAATAACTGATTGGTAGTTTTCATTTATGATAGGTAAGAATACCTAATCAGATATTTTCGAAGTTAGTGTGCTTTGATTTGTATCGGCTTGCACTTATTATTTTTTTCTATAATAAATAAAAACTACCAATCAGTAATTTTTTACTGTTGTGTTTTTTTTTAAATTTTTATTTTTCCATTTTCTACACTTAAGAGGTTGGTTTTTTTTTTCAAATTTAAATTGGAGCATTTCGAAATAAACCTGTTTCGGACAAAAAAAGAATTTTGCAATTCCGTCTACGTCTATGATAGACATATGCCCGAACATACATAAAAAAAATTACATCTGAATTGAGAACCTGCTCCTTTTTTTCGAAGTCGGTTAAAAATGTTTTGATTTAAATTTTGTTTATCTTTACAAGCATTTATTTAAGTTCACTATTTGTGTATACATCTTAAATGTAATATAAAAGATCCCAAAAGATGGTTTTTTGTCTCAATAACACCTGTATCAAATACATGAATATGACAGAGGCAGTAAGATATTTAAAAATAAATATATTTGCTTACTATGTACAAATAATAAAAGAAAAAAATCTAAGTTAATAATCTGAAAAAGACTTACATATCCACCAGCGCGTGTGGATTGCTTGAATGTCTCCCCTACATCATTGTACAAACTTAGTGCACTTTCAACAAGGGTCGCAGTTTGTTGCTCACTCTCTTCATCTTTTGGGTGAAGTGACGCCTTTAAAAAGAAATACATAATTATAGTCGATTTTTAGACTGAGAATTCAGCCCTATTTAACATGGCCCTTCCTTCAATATGAGGTAGATCAGATTGGCTAGTGTGAAACCCGGGATGTAAACTCGCTATATTTGGTTTCCACTGGGCTACTACTACCACTATATGCTACTTCATATTAGCTCGGACATTTAAATTTAGATTAACCTAAGCATTTATAGCATTAATAAGCGAATATTTTTTTATATCCACTATAACATACCTGAGCGGTAGCACAGCATAGAAGCCACGCTGTCGCGATGTCGCTAAGCGCAGCGATACGTTCTGGTGTGAAAGGTTCTAAACACGGTAATGATAACGCCAGGCGGCACACGTGCACTTCGTTAACTAAGAAATGAAGTCTGAAATTAAATTGCTATTTTAGGAACTGACAATTGTTTAGCAAATAATTCTGTGCTAGAAACAAATTTTGTGGTGAATTTTAAAACAAATTAAGATAATGGATTTTGTTATTAATTGTTTTTGTTATAATTAACACAAACTCTTACTAGTTCTTTCTATGCTTTGTAGCAGATATTATGGCCGCTGCCTTAAAAACAACCTTCTTAGGAACCCAAACCAAATATATTGCAAAAAACTAACAAAGAGTATTAAAAACATATACTCACAATGAAACATCAGCATTGAACTGTGGTGCTATAGCACTCTCCTTAGCATTATCCCAGCGATTGAGATACCTCTGCAGGCATGGCAGTGAGGAACAAACCTTCAACACCACAGCACCAGCTCGAAGCTCCATTAACAATGATGAACAGGTTGATGCCACCCATTTCTAAAAGTTTTAATTTTTTTAAGATTTAATTCTAGCAAGAAATGCTTTCTAGTTTTATTTACTCCATGCTACAAAACATTATCTTGTTTATGGTTTCATTAATCCTTTCACCAAAGATAATCTGTAAGAGATTGCTTATAGCAATAAGACCGACTTTGCATGCCTTTTAATTATCTTTCTTTTCTTCTTATTTTCTGTAGTATTCTTTTGTGTGCAATAAAGTAATAATTTAATGTAAATAAATTATGTGGGTATCTAAATCAAGATAGCTCAAGCTGTTTTTGCTTCAATTTAAACTGGTACCTAAACCTTTACAATATCTTATATACCTTTACTATTCTAGAGCTAAGCAAATTCAAACAGATAAACAAAAATTTCAAAAACAACTAATTTGGATTCAAATCTATTGTACAATTTTGAACATATTAAAATGTTGGACACCAAAGTCTCAAAAAAATCTACCTTTACATCTATAGATGTCTGTTGTGAACCATTCCCATCCTTAGTATTATCCAAGCTATCTTTGCTTCCAGGAGACATGACTAGAGCTGGTTGACTCTGAGATACAGTTGCCCCTGTGTTCTTTAAAGGCATAGTTAGTTGTTCTAATAAAGCATCTGATCGTCTTTGGGCATTGGATGGAGGTTGTTTCTCTGCTGTTGTTGTTTGTGATGCAAGAGATGTGATTGGACTTGGTATGACAGAGGACTTTGTGTTTTGTGTGTCTGAAATATATAACAAAATATTGAACTAGAAATAGATATAATATATTATTAATAATCATATTCGAAATGACAATTTTTATAAAATATAAAGGCTAAAACGAAAAAGTCCAATTAATAAGATTCCAATAATGACTAAAGAGGATGAATAGTTATTTAAAAACTCACCTGGTACATTGATATGAGCAGGGAGTTTAGCACTTTTCAATAGGGATGTTAGTATAACAAGATCTGACTGTGGTAGACCTCCTCCATCAATACCACATAAGCCAACTATTGGCAGAAGAAGCTGAAAATAAATACATATATGATAATTGTGTTTTATAACTTACTAATTTATTTAGGTGTTAAATGCCTTGTAGATTAAAGCTATAAAGTACAAAAAGCTAATCACTACACAAATTTAATAACTATAATGTAAAATATATAATCACCTGTTTGACTGAAATATTAGGTGCAGAAGCATTGGTGTTATCATCATAGCTCAATCCGGCTTCAGAGAGTTTTTTAAGGATTTGTCGCAGAATAATTCTGAATGCATCTCTAGCTGTACTGAGTTGCTCAGGTGGTACTATAAGTTTAAATAATATGTTCAAATCAAATTATTAAAAATTTATTAAAAAATGTGAATTAATAACAGTCTTTAAATTTTAAGAACACAAGTAAAGAAAACATCAAATTGAACTTACATATAAAAAATTGGTAAGTTGTATTGTACAATATTGTGCAATGCTCAATGATAAAATTATAAGAGAAATAAATATATCATCTTAAATATTTTATTTGATTTTATATGATATTCAGAATACACTCTCTAATTTCTACTAACATGTACCTTACCTTAACAAATTAGGTCAGATCGTACCACAAATAATCAATATTTTACATATATCTTTAAAATGCAAGTTACATACTTGGTTATTGAAGGGTAAAATTAGTAAATGTAATAAATATGTACTTACAGTTATTTGCGTTTATACTGATAAAATGAGCCGAAAGGCACGCGAAACACGAATAGAACAGGTCATAGACATAGTCATGATTCTGGAACTCATTTTCACTAGAAAAAGAAAAATATTATTGGTTAGTTTCAAGACTTTCATTTGAGGGTAGCTAGTTTACTCGTATGAGATGTTTTTTTTTTGCCCGTTACAATGTAATTATTATAATAAAAATGCAAATCAGAGGTCATATAAATAATTAGTGACTGTTTAATTAAGTAATAGAATCCTTTTATATTTAATGTGTGTTATAAGTATTTTAGAAAAAAATGCCAAGAAAGTGTATAATTTCTTAAATTAAAATTTCTATTTGACCTATTTTGATTGGAATATTTTGATATGAGTATAAATAAATAAATGCTGAATAACGAAACGATGACTAACTGTATTCTAAATAATAAAATATTTGTAATTTAGTTCACAAACCTTTTGATGATGGCTTGTATTATTTCTACGGCGTCATTCTTATCGAAAAACGGACCGTACAAAGCTGTTAAAATCGGTTTAACAGTTGTAGCCCATTCAATATTTCCTCCAGATGCGGCCATTTTCGACAATGACCTCTCGTGAAGTGTCTGTTTAAATTGTCAAATTTTCATAAGCATAGACAAGGATTGATTTTTATTGCTGTGCTTACATAGTATATTTATGTTATAATTATATTTTTTTGAATGTCGAACATTTAACGAATAATAATAATTATTAATTATTCTTAGCCTTATATAAAATAATAAATAACAATAGCGTACTTAAAGCAAAACAATTATTCATTATTATCAAAAGCGGAAGATGACATTTACCTTTGATGAGCAGTGCATCTCTTTCTATAAGTGTCAGTCTATCTCTTTCTATAAATATTAATTTATAAACAAAAAAAACTAATCTTTTTTTAAGCGCTTTTATAGGATTTTCAATAGTATATTTTACAAGTATTTAATTATTTTCATAGCTAAACTTAAACTATTATCATAATCCGAGTCGAGTCTGTCTACGACAAAATAAGCATTATATCTTGATGAACAAGTGACTAATTTATACTAAGAGAATTTTATTCACAAACATACACATGTTAAGCTGACCAATTTTCCACCAATAGTAATAATAAAAAACTTCAATGCCGAAAAAAATATTTTACGACAGTTAAACATTAAAAATCTATACATATAATAAAATTGTAACTAAGCTGAATCTGTACATTAAATATTATTTGCAAAACCTTATTGAAAAAGACATTTTTATCGATAGAGGCCGAATCTATAGTTTTTAGAATTTTTGTCTATCTGTCTGTCTCTCTATCTGTCCGTCTGTCTGTTACCTCATCACAGAAAACCCACTGTAGTGATTTTGATGAAATGTGGTAAGATGATAGTTGGTTATCCGGATCAACATATAGGATACTTTTATCAATAAAATATTTGTTTTCTGAGAAATCTATACTAAACGTTAAAACGTAAGCAGGGATGAACCCAAGCGGAGCGAGGGTAAGTAGCTAGTCCAATATAAAAATGGTGAATAACTTTATTGATTGCTTCTTTTTAGATTGCTTCTTGTCCTAAAAGCGTTTTTACTGCCAAGTATCCCGCTAATCAATGGGCAGATTTTACCTGATCATGATATTGTGGCTGTCGATTATAATTTGTAACTTTCCTTAATTCAATTTGTAAATTAGTCTAGTTTGAAAAACAGTGCGTCAGTTTTGAGATATTACTCTTGTTTTTGTGATATTTTGATAGACGTTTCAAGGTAAACCAACGGCGGTGTTTGCCGACACGACCCCATCCAACTTTTTATCTTTCGTGGCTGTAACTCAGTATTGAGATTATTTAAAAATAGAACTTCTTATCCTCATTAATTTTAAGTTCAAATTCAAAATTGCGTCAATACTAAGTTATAAGGTTTTTCTTGGCACATCTGCCAAAAATAAGATAACAATTTGTTAATACCTGCCTGCCTGCCTGCATGGCTGCTGCTTTATAAGTCATCCATGGTAGTTGCACTGGTTCATGATGGCATATGCCAAACCTTCTTTAAAGGTAATTTTTCTTTAGGTAACTACTGTAAGTACTAAGTAGGTTCTCCATAAAAATATGTTGTCTGTTGTCAAAATATTTGTTGTCTGTGACTGTGTAATTCTCTACATAGTTTGTGTAATGTGTGTCATGGATTGAATTTGATGTGTAGGTATCTACTTTTGTGTTTTGTAATTTTAAACCGTAAACGTCAATTAACTAAAACCCCGCCGAAATTACGGGTTTATATAGATATATGTTATAGCTTTTAAAATAGTTTAAAATTAAAACTATAATGAGTGTTGAAGTGAATAGAAAACGTAAAATCAGTGAAGAAAATGGGAGCGACTCGTCAAGTATAAATAATAACCTATAATAATATCTTACTACTACTTGTAAATTATTATAAATTAATATACTTATTGTATTCACAGGGTCTGTTGCTAAATCGATTAAAAATCCTATTCAGTGTCCTTATTTGGATACTATAAATCGACATGTTTTGGATTTTGATTTTGAAAAACTTTGTTCAGTTTCTCTAACAAGAATCAATGTTTATGCATGTTTAGTTTGTGGCAAATACTTCCAGGTAGAGTATGTCTAGTTTTCAGAGTAATATTTAAAAAAATAAATAATGGTAAGTAAAGTAAGTAGTAAAAGTAGTGGTATTTTTTTAGGGCAGAGGTACTAATACACATGCATATACACATTCTGTGGCTGAAGGACATCATGTGTTCCTTAATTTACATACATTAAAATTTTATTGTTTGCCTGATAACTATGAAGTTATAGGTAAGGTTTTTTATTACTTATTAATATTATTAATAGCTGGATAAGAACTATATTTTTTAATAAAATTTAATATTGCAGATTCATCATTAAATGATATAAAATACGTTTTAAACCCAATCTTTACTCCAGAACAAATAAAGCAACTAGATGAAAACACTAAAATGTCTAGAGCCATTGATGGCACAATGTATATGCCAGGCATTGTTGGACTTAACAATATTAAGGCTAATGATTATTGCAATGTAATATTACAGGTAATTTTAAAGTTATAAATAATTACATCCTTATTATGTTTTTGTGAATGTGTAAAATATTCTTTTTTGGGCTCCATGGCAAAAAGGAAAAAATACTTAACCCATTTTATTTTGTGTTGTCTGGATAGATCTCACTCTCTCTCTCAGAAATACTATGAAGTAGATTTATATTTACTCATTTATGTTATCAATAAAATGTATATTGTATATCAATAAACATTTTCTCAACAAATATATTAACATTCACAAGAAATACAATATTTCAAATTAATGAACCATCAGTTTGCAAGTCAGATGCATTTGCCCTATTTTTTTTTTATAGCTACATCCATATAAGATAGTAAAGATTTAACTTTTCAGTGCTTATCACAAGTGAGACCACTTCGTAATTACTTTTTGCGTGAAGAAAATTATGCAGATGTAAAGAGACCTCCAGGGGATTCATCTTTCTTATTAGTTCAAAGATTTGGTGAGCTAATAAGAAAATTGTGGAATCCAAGAGCCTTTAAAGCTCATGTCTCACCCCATGAAATGCTTCAGGCTGTTGTGTTATGGTCTAAGAAACGATTTCAATTTATTAAGCAGAGTAAGTTTTGGATTTCAATGATTAAAAATGCAATTTTTATAGCAAAAGTATACATATATATCAGTGTAGAAAGAAATAGTCTATTTATTTAGAAAATAAATTGAATTTTATAAATCAATTAAAGTATGCAGCATTATGATTAAATTAATTATTTTATCAACAGGCGATCCAATTGATTTTTTATCATGGTTTCTAAATTCTCTACATATGGCACTCAATGGCACAAAAAAGCCAAATAGTTCTATAATATACAAATCATTCTTGGGACATATGAGGATATATACAAGGTAGGAAAAAATTATTGTTTTTAATATTTATTAATATTGATGATAATCATCATACAAATATTTAATGATTGAAATTATTGCTCCTGAATTTCAATTTGCAGGAAATTGCCACCTCCCGATGCAGATGATGCAGCAAAGGTAGATCTCAATAGTGAAGAATACAGTGAAATGATAACAGAATCTCCATTCCTGTACTTAACTTGTGATTTACCACCCACACCATTGTTTACAGATGAATTTAGAGAAAATATTATTCCTCAGGTAATACTTCACAATCATTATGATAATGTATTGGCAGTTATTAGATTTCCCTACTTATAGTAGTAGCTAATGTTGAAGTCAAAAGTGATTGACTGACATATCAACGCACAGGCCAAACCCTTAATGCTAGAAAATAGAAATTTCACACATGTATTCCTCATATGACGAAGGCATCCACTAAGAAAGGATTTTTCAAAATTTAACACCCAAGAAATAGGGGATAAAAGTTTGTATAAACCTTTTTATTCCTTGGACATATTAGCATGAAATTTTGTATGAATTGAGTACAGAAAAAATAATGACTTATGTATTTCAGTGTTTTCTAAAATTCAACCCATAAGAGGGTAAAATAGGGGATGATAACATTAAGTCAAAGTTCTCCTGCAGATTGAACGCAGGCGCAGACCGCGGGTTCTGCTAGTTATCTATGAAAATAATAACTTTACTTGCATAAATTGGTTCTGCATTTAGCTAGTAGGGTATTGTAATGGACTATGTGTATTTTATTTAATTAGAAGTTAGACAGGAGAATAAATAAGTAAAAGATTCAACATAATGAAACTAACAGTTATAAGTAAGTGTAAATATGATAGCTAAGGCAGTCCTTTAATATTTTTGGATAATTTTATGCTTATACTAGGGGCTCACACTCCCCCCCCAACGTGCGTTCACCTTGTCGTGGTGGGGGGGCTCAGTAGTGCCCGGCAACCCAACCGGGCGCGAAGCCAAGAAACGCACAGGGAGGTGGCCCACTTCGGTGGGCGGTGGCCCTCTTCGGAGGGCGGTGTACCATGCGGGTTGCTCCTGGTACTTCTCTGATAGCAGAGTGGACCTTGGAGCAACCCCGTGGTTGTTGTGGTCTGCTTCGGCAGACCTGCCGTCGGGGCGTCGTAGTTGAAGTCGTAGTTGAATGCGTAAGCGATCCTGCGACGCCCCATTAAGACGGGGGAAGGCTTTGTTGGGTTTTAGTGGGTAGTACTGGCTTTGCCGGTGAGTCCCACACCTCGTGCGTAAATGCATTTCCCAACGTTAAAAAAAAAAAAAAAAAGGGACTCACACTCACTTCGCTCGGGTTCTCCTCAAGAAAAACAAATCTATCTCTCGTAGTCTATGTTATTCCAGACTATAACCTATTTCTGTGCCAAGTTTCATCCAGATCCGTTCAGCCGTTCTGGCGTGAAAGAGTTACAAAAATCCACACATATACTCTACAAACTCTCATATTTATAATATTTATATACAGATTTTTCAAATTGTATTTATTTTAAGGTTAACTTATACCAACTATTATCAAAGTTCAATGGGCAATCATCTAAAGAATATAAAACTTACAAGGAAAACTTCATGAAACGATTTGAAATCACACAGCTTCCTCCATATTTAATATTATATATCAAGCGGTTTACGAAGAATACTTTCTTTGTGGAAAAGAATCCTACTGTTGTTAATTTCCCAGTAAAGTAAGTTGTTACATAGTTTTCAAAATGCGTAACAATATATTTTTATACTCATTGTTTTGTATTTAATTTGCTTAGTATTTTAAGTAAGAAGACCTAGCAATTTCATCACTTTTAAGTCAATTGAAATTACGCATTAAAAGATTTATGTTTGATGTTATTATTTTAATTTTAAATTATAAACACTAATGCTTTGTAATTTATAATATTAACAGAAACGTTGATTTTGGTGATATTCTAACTCCAGAAGTGAAAGCAAAACATAATGGTAAAACAACTTATGAGTTAGTTGGAAATATTGTACATGATGGTACGCCTGAGAAGGGCACATATAGAGCACATGTTTTGCATACACCAACTCAACAATGGTAAGCTAATAATCTTCATGACTCTTGTCATGTCATGTACAAAAAGTACATAGATTTTGATTGTCTTATTTTTTCTGGTAATAACAAAATTCTTAATTTTATAATAATTTATTATTAGTCACATATAAAACTTTTCAATTTTCAATTTCATTTATTAAAATAATTTTACCATCTCTGATGACTGGCTCTTTAATATATATTTTTTTCTAGGTATGAAATGCAAGATCTTCATGTGACAAGTATTTTACCACAAATGATCACTCTCACTGAAGCTTACATTCAAATATATGAATTGAAGCAGGACTGATGTTATTGTAAATAAATAATTATAGACATTACACATTTTATTTATTGAATATACAAATTTTTTCCATTGCCAAGTCTGTGAAAGTATGTTTTATACTAATTATCATTAATACACAAATTTTAAATATATCAGATAAATGTGACAATATATTAAGGATGCCTATATCTTTCACAATACAATCATGTATATTACAGATTATGTTTAAATTTAAACACATAAGTTTATTCCACTTAGCCTTAAAGTACCACTTTCATAGTAGTATTTCACTTCACTTTGCAGTATGTTGTCATAGTTTTTTCCTGAAGCTATTTTAAGAAAATAATTTAAAAAAAATTATTTCTCAAAATAAAAATACACTATTTTTCTTCATAGAATTAAACTATCGACAACACTGCAATAGTCTGGGCTAGTGACTCTCGCCCTTTTTACCTGCAACCCTTTTGAATTCACCCATATTAGTAGTTGAGATTGGTGATCCATAGAAAGCAAGGTGATCTATCTGAGTCACTTCTCCACCAGACTGGTTGTCTTTTATAAACAATTGGATGTTTTGAACATTCTGGAATTTAACGAATTTCAGAGGAATTGGATTCCCCTCCAAATCATTTGGAGATAACCTGAAAAAACTTTTATATTAATATCTTTTTACACACAACACAACAAAAAATTAGATGCATAATAATATTTATGATAAATATTAAATTTATAAGTTAAAAAAAGAATAATTTGAAATCACACTACTATAATCTTAAATATTCATATTTTAGTACATATTTTTAAAATATAGAAAAGGTACTTTGACTTAGTCTAATATTATATAAAAATCTTGTGTCACAGTGTTTGTGGTCACACTTCTCCAAAGAGGCTCAACAGATTTAAAAAAAAATCGGTTATTCTGTAGGTATGAGAATAGGTCATAAAGTATTTTTCGCCCTCCTAGCCCCAACCCTATTTTTTAATCGTGGGTTTTAGTATTTTTGTATGGACAATATATAAATGCATAGCAATGAACCCAGGTGAAGGGAGGGTCAGTCGCTGTATAACAAAGCCACAGTTTTTTTGTAGACTGAATGCAGGCGTAGCTGAGGTTTCTGCTAGTAGCATGTATAAAAAGTTTTGCTGAAAATGTAAAACTTGCACTTACTCCAAATCTTGCACTGAAGCATTTGCAGCGGCCTGATCAAAATCCAGTGTTCTAGGTTGATTAATGAATATTTTCACCACCTTGGGGCCTTTATCATGAGGAGCTTTCATTTTTAGGGAATGTAGTTTAACAATCTAAAATAAGTAGTCAGGATTGAATTTAGTATACAGTTGGGAGATATATGAGGAATCAATATTGAATAGCTAGGTTGCTATATTTATACTTTTAAAAAATATAACAGAAAACAATTAGAAATAGGAATTTCTTACATACCTGATTAAAAGATATATTAATAATCAGTTGTTCATCACAGTCACTGGCAAGATATCCTCCGCCACTTGTAAGAGCATGAGCTAATGGGTGGTCATCTGCTTCATTTAAGCATTCACATTCATTCTTGACTATAAATGTACCCAAATCCATCTAAAACACAATAGTCATTTGATTAGAGAAAAAACAATGACCTTTTGTTACATGCGAAAGGAAGACAGTGAATGAATGCATCTAGATAGAGAAAAACTTACATGTCCAGCAACTGCATTATCATCTTCACCAGTGTCTTCACTTCCATAGTAATGTCTTACTTTATTTTCTAGAGTTGCAGGATCTGCGCCCTGTAGCCGATCAATCCTCGTCTGTAGCAATAATTTTAATCATGGATAAGAAAGTTTAAAATTATTTCTGTATTGACAAACAACTATTCGTTTTTATAATTAAATAGGTATATTTTTTGTCAGTGTATCATCAAATGTGTATTACTTACCCGGTTCTTGTAAAATATGAAGGTAGGCATTGCACTGATACCCTGTGCGCTCGCTGTTTCTGCGCATCTATCAACATCCACTTTAAGAAAAACTGCCCGAGGAAATTTAGCTGGAAGCTGTTCAAAGAAGGGTGCGATTCGTTGGCATGGTGGGCACCTTAAAACATAACAGCGTAGGTGTAATTTCTTATACACTACTTCGAATGATGACTAGAGAATTTGAAGTTTGAACCACGTCAGGTTATACTTACCAAGTAGCAGTGAAATCCACAACTACTAGCTTTGTACCAGCATTAGCCATTTCAGATTGAAAATGAGCTTCATTTTCTATTACCGTAGCTAAACCCATTGTAAATTGTAAAAGTTAAAACACAAATTAAAACGACAACAATGGGGCGATGATACTTCAAAATGGTTGTCACTGCGTTTACTGGTGTTGTCAACGAAAAAAAATCTTAGTTGATATATAAAATTGTCTATTCCTAGAAGTACAAAAAAATATATTTACAAAAATAAAAAAATCGCGTAATGAGTGAACTAAAAACAAGAAAACAAGTTGACGAAGGAAGACCAATCTTCTTCGTGTCTTCTCCATTCTACGTGACATTGCCAAAGTAATCAGTAGGTACTCAACTGGCACACTTTGAAGCCATATTGAATTGACGAAGGAACATAGTATTATGCAGTTGGAGATATACGTATACAAAATAGCTGCAAAATTGCAAAATATGTAACATTAATAATTTATGTATTTGTTTCATATAATATCTTGAAAATTGTTAAATATTTAATAATAAAATTATGAATAATCCGAATGTGTACATTAAATATTTTTTGGAAAATATTGAAATAGACATTATTATCGATACAAAGGCCAAATCTATAGTTTTTTAAATTTTTGTCTATCTGTCTGTGATCGCATCACGGAACGCAAAACTACTGGAGGGATTTTGATGAAATTTGGTATGATCCGGGTATAGGCATAGGATACTTTTTACTGCGGGAAAATATCTCATCTCTGAGAAATCTATATTAAACTTTAAAACGTAAGTAGGGATGAACCCAAGTCGAGCCGAGGGTGAGTCGCTAGTAAATAATAAAATGGACGCATGCGCAACACAAGTAAACCTGAATAATAATTGAGCTAAATGAAAATAGTTAATTAAACAAAAAAAAAACATTTTGACGGTAGAAAAATCGTATTTTATAAACACTACTAGTAACAAGAAAACATATAAATTTCGATTTGAAATTTATATATTTTCATTTTACATATAAATTTCGATTTGAAATTTATATGTTTTCTTGTTTTACATATGGTCTTGTTTTACTTAGGTTTTACATATTAGTATACTCAATTGCAGTTTTTGTATTTTTTCTCATAAATGAGACAATTTCCCGCGGTAAAAAGTATCCTATATGTTGACCCGGATAACCAGCTATCTCCATACCAAATTTCATCAAAATCCCTCCTGTGGTTTTTCTGTGATACGGTAACAGACAGACAGATAGACAAGAATTCTAAAAACTATAGATTTGGCCTCTGTAATAATGACTATTTCAATGAGATTTTCCAAAAAATATTTAATGTACAGATTCGACTCGGTTAGAATTTTATTATACGTATTATACGTATAAACAATTTACGAACAAACAATTATTTATGGCGAAAAATCAAGAACAAACGGGGAACAAATGATAAGTGAAAATATAAAATCAAAAATTAGAAAAACAAATCCTGTGGGCCAGATTTGGTGAGCCAAACTCCGAAGTGAAGTGTGCTGAGTTCAAAAATTTAAAATTTTCATGACTGAAGTAATTAATGAAATACCATTATACTCGTACAAAACCTCAACTATTTACGTACTCTAATCTAAAATAACTAAGTAAATATAACCATCCTTTTTTATTTCTCTTTCTTACCCAAATTACTTTGGGCCCTTCCCTTAAAATTTACGCTACAGCAGCGCTACCCTTATTGAACGCGTTTTGACGGACACTTTTTCATACACAGTGATTCCTCTTTACCTCTACGTTCCATGGTAATTACGAGGGAACATAGGATCGGACATACATATATACGAGTAAATACAGGTCATACAGGTCAAACACATAACCCTCCTTTGGGCTTCGCCGCAGTAAAAAGTCGCGGGTAAAAAGATAAGAGGTCACTGAATAATTTTCGAGTCACTACATTATTGCAGTCTACTGCTTATGAATCAATTTTCATTTAAGGCCTCCGGTATGGAAATTTTATGAGGAGTGAAATAAATAAAAGTGTTAACTCAAAAACTTTTTAACAAAAAATAAAAACCGACTTCCAGGCACTAAAATGTTAAAAATAACTAAACGGAGGTTTTCATTTAGAATAGATACCTAATCAGATATTTTCGAAGTCGGTGCCAGCCGATGCAAAGCAAATCTAATATATTTCGATACGTAAAATACATAATATTTACCTATTAGATATTCATATCTTAAAATATTGTAGGCTGGCACCGACTTCGAAAATATCTGATTAGGCGTCTATTCTAAATGAAAACCTCAGTTTAGTTATTTTTTACATTTTAGTGCCTGGAAGTCGGTTTTTATTTTTTGTTAAAAAAAATTATTTTTCTATTTTTAGTGTAGACGTAATAAATAGGTAATTTGTAAGAAGAAAGTTTTTTAATAACATATTCGATTAAAGAATTTATTTAAAAATAAAAAATTGTTGATTTTTTTAATAACCGCTCGACCGATTTCGATAAAATTTATATGGGACCACCTGGGAAGTGTACCCTTTGAAACAAAAAAAAACTTTCCAAATCGGTTCAGGCGTCTTGGAGTAATCGGTGAACATAAACTCCTCCTTTTTGGAAGTCGGTTAAAAAGCGTTTTACGTCATTGTAAATCCAATATGGCGGATTCCTAAAGATGACAAAATTTTGTTTTATGCATTCCCATGTTATGGATATCAAATAAAACGGTTTTCTAAGAAGAGTACGAAAAAACATGTTTTTTTTAATAATATGATTAAATATAATATAATATATTATAAGGTATATTAATTATATTATAATTACTTCCGTATAATATTATGAATTTAATTTTCATAATAAAATTAAATATTTTAAATTATTAAACATTCTGTTTCTTGTAGGAGTAAACTCCAGTCTTGCGTCGGAGCTGGCACACACTTATTGGTACTTTTTTACCCGACTGCGATGAAGCCGGAAGGAGGTGTTGATCCTCTATATATACTGTATAATACATTTATACTTAATATTATAAATGCGAAAGTTTGTGAGAATGTATGAATGTCTGGATGTATAGATGTATGGATGTTTGTTAATCTTTCACGCAAAAAGTGCGGAATGTATTTTAATGAAACTTTACAATAATATTGCTTTTACATCAGAATAGCCCACTAAACCAATTTTCAAAAAATGAACGTTTTCCGTGGGATAGATTTGTTTTTGATTTTCTAGAGGCGAAGCCGAGCGAAGCGAGGGTGAGCCACTAGTATGTATATACATATGTATGTTTGATCCTATCTCGTAATTAATAAAAGGCATAATTATCTTAATATTAAGTCTTGATAACACGAGTGTCACGAGTATAAGATAATTATTGTTAAAAATTAAAACGGCGGATTTTATGCGCCAATTTGTATGTTTTGAAAAAAAAAATCTTCCAAGCCTATAGAGTCAAACCTATTGAATCAAAATGAAGGTTTAAAAAGCGATTGTTAAATAAAAGTAACCAAATGTCTAACGGCCCGTAACTAAAAAGGCTGTAAATTAAAAATAAAATAGCTCAACCGCATAAAAGGCGAACCAAAAAGATGGAAAGAAATTAACGAAGAAACAACATTTGCTGCGACTTTTGTTACGAATTATCACAAAATACGAAGGAAACAATTATTTTTTTTAATGTTGGACGTTGGTGATGGACACAAGAGTATAGCATAGTTAATCCATAAAACCTACCTTAGTAGTACATATATATATATAATATATATATATACGAAATGTTAAATTACAATTCAATAATTTTATTTCTTTTACCTTTTATTAAAATATCTATAGGTGCATATAATAAAACTATAGAGGTCGAATGTCTGTACATAGAAAAAATATGTTAAAAACCGAGTCAGGGGGATGTAAGAAGAAAAATAGAACAAATCCAGATTTTTTTCAAAATTTTCGCTTCTCTGTCTGTTTGTACGGGCTAATCTCCGAAACTGTTGGACCGATTTAAATGAAATTTAACATGGTGGTACCTTATATCCCCGGTCAACATTTTAGATACTTTTCATCTCGAAAAATTAAAGAGTTCCCGTGGGATAGTTAACAAACTATAGTAACTTATGCAGCTAAGTATACAAAAACTACTGATTGTATTTTAATGAAACTTTACAATAATTATAGTTCATACATCAGAATAACAAATAGGCTACTTACTATCCCGTGAAACTGTACGGTTCCCGTTGGATAGATTTGTTTTTGCTTGTCCGCTAGTACCTAAATAAATATATTTCATTATAAGAAATATTCTATCTTGGAAATAATGTGAATTAGATCGCAGTGACAATCACCCGAGGCGTAGTTTATCTACACAATTATTTACGTTGAGCTTTGCAAATTACACCTATTTTTTACATAAGCCCTATCCGACAAGATTGCTATTTTTATCCAACGCCTTGAATTTTTTATTAGCAATATTATACTCATCTGAAACTTAATTATAATAAAGATGTTTTATACCGAATGTCATGAAAAAAATTTACCTTACTTAAAATTTACCTTACTTTTTTATGAATAAATGGAAATAATATGTTTCAGATTTTGAATTAAATTATTTATTATTTAATATTTATGTAAATCGTCTTTGATGATTTTGGACAGAAGACGGCATCGGTAATCGGAAGATTTCAGTCTTGGTCGGCGGAGTATTGTTATTACATATGTATATCATACGACATACCATACAGTATAGTATTATATGATCTGTGACCATACTACTATGTTCCTGGAAACCGTAGGTAAACCTATCGAAATAAAGATACGAAAACCGTTTAGGTAATAAACTTTTAATGCGTGAACTCGTTTTTATATATTTGTTCAGAAAATTAGGGATATTGTTGACACTTGACACACTAGTAGGTTCACATTTTTTAGCCTACGGAATACCTCTTTTTCTTTAAAATTAAATATAAAAGCTTCTTTTTTTAAATAAAATGGTACATAATATTGTATTAACATTATTTAAGTAATAAGGACTACCTACATTAATTTATTTTAATTAATTGTGAACTTAAATAAGTATGTTTTCGTGACATATGACACACTAGTGACTCACCCTTGCTTCGGTTCTACCCTAGGTACGTTTTTACGGTTAGAATGGATACATTTTTAAGGGGTACCTAACTAATGTGCTATTCCAGACTATAATCTATATTTGTGTCTCATCCAGATCCGTTCAGCTGTTCTACACTAACCACTCTGCTTCTCTAATTAACATGACCAACCATCCACACTTTCGCATTTATAATATTTATAGGATTACTGGTACTTCTCTGATAGCAGAGTCTGGAACAACCCCGTGGTTGTTGTGGACCATAACTTGTGGACTGCTTTGACAGATCAGCCGCCGGGGCGCCGTTGTTGAGTGCGTAAAGACGGTGGAGGTTTCGTTGGGTTTGTGCTGTGTGGTGGGTAGTACTGGCTATTCCAGCCAGCGAGCCCAACATGACCACATGTGTGTATGCAGTTCGTATGCGTAAATGCATTTCCCAATGTTAAAAAAAAGTACCTACGCACTAAAATAAATAACATAAGAAATTTGTTCACACAATTATGAATTTCTAATGCACAGTCATCGTCTAAAATAATAAATAAAAATATTTTCCCAAATGTAGCATCTTCTTTTTCAAAATAGTTAAAAAAGATATTTGTTGAATTGATTTAAGTAGCAATTCATTTTGCGCCTTTACTTAATGTACTATCGTATTATTTTCCGTTAGCGAATAAAAACCACGCTAGCCCGTAGAAACTCGCCAGTCCTGATTTGTTATTTGCCGGAAACGTTTTCTTTTATCTTGATATAAAAGAAGACAATAATTATGTTATGCTTACACTTAGTTGCCTCATTTGTTTGCGTTATTATATATCAACATATATTTTTTATTAGTGCAGAATCAATTTTTTTTAAATCTGGATTGCCTCTAAAAAGTGATTTAATGAATTATTTAAATATTATTGACAGAGTGTCTCGATATTATACGGAAAACAAAAATGACATCTATATTGATTTATCTTTTGGTTTATTCCTAACTATTGGTAAGACTTTTTAAGTAAATCTATACTAATATTATAAATGTGAAAGTTTGAGAATATGTATGGATGTTTGTTACTCTTTCACGCCAGAACAGCTGAACGGATCTGGATGAAATTTGGTACAGAGATAGAATATAGTCTGGAATAACACATAGAATACTGTTTATCCCGGAAAAATGAACTGTTCCCGTGGGATAGATTTATTTTTGTTTTGTTTAGAGGGTGAGCCGCTAGTAACAATTTATAAATAATAGATAAGCAATTTAGTACCTATCATATTTACATATTAAATAGTACTATATTTTATTTACAGTTAATATGAAATATTCTCTCAAAGATAAGGAGGATATTATTCCTGCCGATATAAGAACAAAAATGCAAAATATTATTTCTAAAAATGAACAATTATTACAATATTACGAAGAATACGGAGATGAAACCCGCATAGAGACTTTACTGAGTAGGTATACTTTCTTAAATATTATAATTTTTGTAATATTTATTATATAATTTTCCGTGCTTGAAAATCTATTTTCTATATTGAAAAACATAATGAAAAGTCGACTTACTACCACTACAGATTAGCTTATTTATTTTACTTATGAACCAATGTTTTAAATAATTGGTGTGGATTAGGTTATAAATGGATTACGCGTGTGTAGTGAATAACATTCTATTATTTAAAAACCATCGAAGTTCTTTGTTTTTACAGTCAATAGTCTATTTTCAAACGCTTCACTATGGATAAACCGACTGGAGAATTTTAAACATACATTTGGAGAAAATGAAACATATTCTCGTAGCGAGTTAAACAAAAGATATTCGTACTGGAATCGCTATTTGCATGAAGTTGATAGACTAGAAGATTGGATTCCAAGTCCGAAGCAATCTGGTATGTGATATATACCTCTATTAAGATCATAGTTATTTAAAAACCTTACTATTTTTACTTAATTAAATTATCAAAATGTTGGTTAACGTATTCACGTGTAGGTATATACTTAACGAATATGCTTCAAATTTTGAATGAAGGCTGTCTAGAGGAACAGGTTTGATTCCCATTCAGATTAAATCATTATATAGCGGGCCATACGAATTACTAGTAATTGAACTAGTGAATTTAAAATTTAAGATGTATACTATGCCATCGAAGTTCTGTTCTGTAAAACGTATAAAATGTTTTTTTTTTCATAAACGCTTGTCGATATTTGCATGTATATAACCAATTCGGCTTATTTCATTTTTGTTGCTGAATTTATTGCATTATTTGGCCGGTCTTTTCTTAGCCAAGCATTAATCATAAGAGCGAAAAGTTTTTTAGATAACACACTTTATTTGTGCATATATCTACATATATATGAAAGAATATTCTCTAATAGGAAGACTTAGGTATTTATTACATTTTATTTTTAACATTTTAGATGGGTGCTTAGTGTCGCTGTCTATCAATCCTGTGAATTATAAAACGCCTCTATCATGGTGTCCTGTGGCGGACTTTTGCTACACCATGTTGGTGAAAGGAACTGATTTTGGCTACGCTCTCGGACACCGGTGAGTAATTTTAAAATTTTATAAAAAGATCCGCTAAAATATAACATTCTTGAAACTGCATTATCTCTATCAAACTAAGAATTAACCCACACAATATTTTATCTTTAAGTTGATTAGATTCTCATAATATAAGGAGTCTCTTTTGCAGGCAAATCCAAATTTAACTTGACTAATTTTTTTATACGCTGATTCGATAATCATTGCTCTATCAAAATTTCAATAATTTGTTTGTAATCTTTGAACTTACACAAAAACCCGTTAGAAAAAGCCCATATCAGTTTTAGCAAAATTTCCTATTTTTTATTTACCCTTTTTTCCTCTGAAAACTTTATTTGGACTATGACGAATATTTAAAACAAAAACGCCAAATTGGGCCAGCTGTTTTCAAGAGATGCGCTTCCCAACGCAGCATTTTATTTGTACTTACAAAGATTTAGAATTGAAACACGTACTCTAATAAATAATCTAAAATTGTGTATTTACAAAGGTCTGCGCGTGACGAGTCCATAAAAGTCTCGAGTACCTCCCTTGCATACATACATTCAACTACTTCGTAGTTTAAATTTTTTAGATTGTTACTTCTCATAATGGCTCGTATGGGTCACGGCTGCCGTGTCCTATCTGAACGTGAAGATAAAGAATTGTCCCAGAAGTTCTGTTCCATGGCTTACGCTGAAGCTCAATACATTGCGTTTAATAAATATGGAAATGCTGACCTCATGTTAGAATTCAGTAAGTATTCTTTAAATAATGCTGCTAATTTTATAGTATTTTTTATGCATAAACGGTACCAGAGACGAAAGGGTATAAGGCTGTAGAGGGTCATAGACTATGTTTCTTGTCGCAGTCATATATAAAGCGGGGTCATAAATGAGGGTTATATCTTTATAAAGAGTCTTCGAGTAATCGGTGAACAAACATAAAAAAAAACAAAGATTCCGACGAATTGAGAACCTCCTCTTTTTTGGAAGTAGGTTAAAAATAGGAATAAAGTAGGTACAAAATAAAATATTTAATCTCTTTCAGCGACGTTGTGTTCCTTGGAAAGTCATGCTGAATTCCTCCATCGTAGGTGGCTTAAAAATTTAAAACGATTTCAACTGCGAAGTGGATGTTTTGTTACTCAAATTATCATGGCAGAGCCTCCAAGTACCCTTTTCGAAGACAAACTCACGGACCAGGCGCTCGATCCTGTTGAAGAATGTAACACACACACAACTGCGTTAGCGATTGCCACTTATTCGTCGGCTGTTAGATTTATTCTGCAAAAGTATTATTGATTAATGTTTCAGATTTAATATAAAATGAATAAATTATATGCTTACGTCATGAGACCTATATGAAAGTATTTATATTTTTCATCTTGTTATATGTACGTTGTATGTAGGTAGATTGTATTAAATATATTGTATACCTTTATCTAACATTTAAATATCATTAAGTACCTATTAAATATTAAATCTATGAGAATAAAAATGTTTTAATATGCCCTCTGCCATTACAAAAAATATATTATAGAAAAAATTTAAAGAAATAAAATTATATGAGATATTTTGATATCTTTAAAGAAAAGACGATATATTAGGTATGAATAAATATTATAAAGTTAATAATTTAGAGATTAGTTAGTAGTTTAATATGAAGAAGCAGATGCGCCCCCCTGGGGGCTGGAAATAATTCTGCCGCCATCCATGATTACATATTTAGATTATACTTGACATTATATTAATTTGTCTTTTCAGGTATATTATTTTTTGAGAATAGATTAAGTATTAATTCATTTAATTTTCAAGAATCTGTAAATAAAATAATAAATAAATAGACATATTGGGACATTAACACACAGCACCATCTAGTTCCATGGTAAGCTACGAGGCTTGTGTTATGGATTCAACATAGTTGATACACTACACATAATACATAACTTTAAATACATACATATTGTAAATATATCTATGAATATAGTATATATACCTATATAATTTTATAAATAACGCTTTATTATAAAACTTGTGTAATTTTATATTTAAAAGTAAATAAGCTACATATCTGAAAATGTTTTTAACTAGTTTAGTTTAGTTAGTTTTGGGTTTAATATTACTGGTACGGTTTAATGTTACGATTTTTTTCAACTATTAAATAATTTCTTCGATTGTTATTTATTATGTAAAACTTACATATTTTTATATTCGTAATATTATTACGTATTACAATAGGTAATGTGAATCGGAAGAACAAGTAACATGGACAAACCACGTTAAGAGTTAAAGAATTTCAGTTTCAGATTTTCAAAAAAATCAATCAAAAGGTTTAACTGAAATATGTTATTAATATACTTATATAAAACATGTTCAAAGTTTATACACGTTTTAAAAAAATGCATGTTTTGCAGAAATAAAGGATTAAAAATCACAAGCTGTAATTACGTAATCTATCAATCTATTGATTAAACAATATATTAAGTTGCATTATTATTCATAAGTTATTCTGTTATTAGTACTATCTAAGATAAACCATAAGTTAGGTGTTAACTACTTCGAGCGGAATAAATCAATTGTAGTGTGAAATGACTTCTCATCAAATTTAATCGTTTTAAAAGTTTCTATTAAAGCAATTATAAATCGATAGTAATTTATTATTTTTCTATTTCATCGTATCACCTCGTGGTGCAAAGTGACATTTTTTCCCAATTTTCTAGTAATAATCCGGCACGTTCACTACATATTTTACCTGAGCTCGTGGGCCTAATCCCTTTGCAGGGTAAACATTTGTATGTATTAAATTAGAATTTACGCAAAAGATATAATTAAATTGCTTTATTACACTATACAGATTCTGTATGCTCAGGGCCTCGACGGCTAAAATAAAAAATTTTAAGCAGCCAGTTATAACAACCAATCTATGGCCAGTTGTGACACAATTCAAAAAAGTCATTTTATGAAAACGTTTCAGAACACAAAATATATCTGGCTGCGTCGACGAATACAGAGACCGGCCGCCACGTACATTTCGCACAAATTAGTAGTAAATATGAGCGCCTACTTTTTTTAAAAAGCAATTAGCTATTTAATCTTATACTTGCAAGATATTGAAAAGGAGCAAAAAAGAATGTGGAAGGAGCATTAATATATTATACAGAATCCTAAGCTGTAAAGTATAAAATATATTAAAGCAATGAATAAATTAGACATGTGTTTTCATCTTATTTGATAACTACGGTAGATAAGTAGGTAATAAGCATATTTCAACGTTTCAATGGTCCGTTTAGTCTACGTTCGTCCAGTTGACTTCTTATGAAGGACGATTTAAAAAAAGTAGCATTCAAGTTTATTTCTCGTCAAATTAATTATTGAAGTTATTTTATGAGAATTGAGAAAGGGGTTTAGCCACTCTTTGTGACTTACTTATTGTTAAAATATTATTTTTCATAGTATGTAATCAATGCATATTTTAATCATTTTGTTATTTAGTTCTCTGATTAAACTGATTACTGTCACTTGTCCAATATAAACATATCGTTAAAATGCAATTTAACAACATACTTGTCCTAGGTTCTTACTACACTGGTTTAATAATAGACAATCAATGAATCATATCGTCCTATGATCATAAATCATTACGTAAAAGTTAAATTACACAAATAATTAACTGAGGATTACTATGAGAACCTTCGTCCTGTTACTACACATTAAAATTTTAACATGTTGTTTTTGTCAATTTGTGTTAAATCTTTTTATGCTTAGTCTAACACGTAAATTACAAAAGCAAAATTGCGATTGGCGAAAATTTCATTTTTTGTGCTTTTCTTCTTTCTTCGTTTTTTTTTTTTACGCAGCGACAGTAAGGCATCGATATCAACGAAGAATAACAAGACCTATATTTTTTTATATTTTGACATTGATATACTGTTAAAAATATGAGAGCTATTGTTACTTAAAGAGACAGTTTTTATCGCTTTCGTAAGTAAATTCAGCGTGTATGACAGTGATGAGTGTGATAATTTCATTGACATTCAATGCAGCAAGATGCAGCTGTATCGCAATTTGTAGACCATTTCCTCGTCTTAAATATGGCATCCTGCTTGGTACGTTACTTTCATTCAAATAAGTGGTCGTTGTTTTTCAGAGAGTTGAAACATGCAGTAGACATCTACAAATAGGTATAGTCATAAACGAAGTGGCTAATTCGTTCATGGGTATAGTCTATAGTCCGCAACGGATTTTTTTAATGATTAATAATAAGCTAAAACTTCGTGAGTAGCTTCATTTAGGCGAGACACCCAACTATTCCTTCTACGAGAATTTGATAGTAGTAGATACAATTGAGGCTTCACATTATGGAACACGGTGATACTCTAAAATGTATTATTGAGAGGTTATTTTACGAATTAATCATGAGATAAATAGTAATAAAGTGAAATCTGTACATCAAATATTTTTTTAAAACAATGATTGTTACTGTATTGTGTTGTTATATTCTGTACAGTATAAGTACACAGACCGGTAAACGATAGTAGTTGATATTTTCAATTCGTTTGTTTGTGCGTTTATCAGGTAGTTTTCACGCAAAAAATACTGGATGGATTTTAATTAAATTTGTAGTGATAACTGAACTTCGACTTAGTTGAGCTTGAGCTAATTACTTCAACATTTAGGTTATCGTTTGCTACAGGAAAATCTGTCATTTCCAGGGGAAAAGGGACGTACTTGAGGGAAACAGAGATAGCCACTAGCAATAGAGTCATATGCATATATGGATTGTTGGTTATATATAGTTGTGGTTGTACGAGTTATATATATTTAGTGAATATTTTTATATTATTTTATCTTATAAGTTATCAATGAAATATATTTTTTAATTTTAGAAAGTTTATTTATAAAAGATTTTATTTAAGCATAAAAAAAATCTGATGGTTAGTCACAGACCGCATGCGTTCAAGTGCTTTTGGGAATTTAAATAATAGAGAGAAAGTAGGTATATTTCTTTACTATGATTCTGTGATTTTGTATTTAAATTATCTGGAGAAAAGAAGTGTATAGAAAAAATTATATATAATTTTACATTTTGAAATGTTAGTATTTTGATAGTTGTTAGGAAAATTTAAGTAATATTAATTAAATGCATCGATGACTGATACTTAGTATTTGAATTAAATTTTCTTTTCTTTTCTTTTAAATTGTTATTGATGAAACTTGTAAAAAGCATCTCTAAATTACTCAGTTACAGATATAACGTAGTGATAAACTTTAAAACAGGTGATTTTGTTAAGGAAATGATGACTCGGTTTTCTCTTTAATGCACTGATAACAAGTAATACTATGCCAAAACATGTTCTCTGGAACTAAGTAAAGCACCGTCATTGTAATTTGATTTTCTTATGAATATAAAATCGTTTTTTTAACTTTTTTCTTCTTAAATATCTACTGTACTCCGTACCTACCAAGCCGGTGGCTGTCCTAAGCATGACAATGTTAAGAGCTTCTAGATACATAGCCTTGTAAAGCAAAGCTATTTAAATCGTATATGGTTTTTAATAATTAGATCAAACATTAAACGTTAATTACAAAGTCAGTGACAAACATCATGTCAGTTCCTCGTGTAAGACCTGCTTCACGGTGAGTTGAAAGTGACAACCCGTCTTGGCGACCTCGCTATAAATGAGTGGATTCAATGTCGGGCGGAAGTTTCTGTATGCACTTCCGGTGCTTGAGGGTCTTAAGGTTGACTGCTGGAGTGGTAATACCAGAATAATTCATGAAGATGTTGTTGTTGTTGAACTTTTACAAAAGTTATCTTTTATTTGTAGATTTATTGATATTGTAGCAAGCTTATCGAAACTTAACATAGTAAAAATAAAATGTAATTTTTGTACAACAAGCTGCTTTATCGGTAAGTCTATCTCTTACAGGTAATTTTTCAGTAGAGAAACGAGAAGAACGACAGAGGGTATTATTTGGTCGATTTTATGTAATTTAATACGGTGGAACATGTATTATTTATAAGTTTTCTAATTTTTATGTTTTAGGTTTATTCTAAAAACAATTATATATTTTGAATTCAACTTTGAGTTTTAACAACAGAGAATTTTAAATGATTGTTTTTACCATGGAATAAAACGTGAAAATAACTAATCATTAAGTAACTATTGAAAAAATGCTGTTATAAAAATATGTGAAAAAATTCTGAATATAAAAATTAATTCCAAGAATTCTGCAAAATACATAATAAAAAATTATGAGGTTGCTTGACGCTGCTTGCTTACGATTCAATCCTGTTT